TTTTAAGAGAGTTGGAACCTACAAGATGAAATTTAGATCAAGAATTTCACTTTACAGAACAAACCTACAAGATATAAGAGAAGCTGTGGCTCCTGTGAATTCAGTAATTCTTTCATAGGGTAGGTGGTCATCAGTTGCGGGGTTTTGGTTTCCCATAAGCTTCCAAAATAAATATGATGAAAAGTTAGTCCCACGGTTTAAATGAATTTGCGGTTATTCTTTCAAATGCTTGTAATGACCATGAAGCAGTCGCCCCATAAGGCAGGCATTTGGTGAGCAGTTTAGCTGCCTCTTGGGGTGCTTCTGCCCCGTCTCTGAGTGCTTGACCGTAAGTCCGGCTCTGCTCCCGATTCCAGCCTCATGCTGGCGTGCACCCTGGGAAGTAACGGGGATTGTGCAAGTCCTTGGTCCCTGCCGCTTACATGGCATGGGAGACCAGGAGACAGAGCCCTGTCTGCTGTGGGTATATGTGATTGAACCAGTGGGTTAGTCTCTGTCTGCCTCTCTCTGCATGCCCACGCGCATAAGCTCGCATGCATGTACTTTTAAAAAAATCAAATGTTTAATGTTTAAAGTTACCTTGTAAAGATGTGTCTTTACTTCCTGATTTCAGTAAGGAGATGGGACAGGGAAGAATCTTAAAGCCTGGTGGTGATGGATGCACTTGAAGGGCTAAGAAGGAAGTAGCCAGGGAGTCCTTGCAGGCAGGTTTAGCTTCATAACCTATTGGGTTGGTTTTGTTGATACCGTTTTTAAACTTTTTGTGTTGAGATGATTACAGAATATTAGAAGGTTGCAAAAAATAAAAACAGTACAGAGATAAATGAGACTCCCAGGAAGTGGCAGGCGCCGAGTAGAGAAGTCGTGTTCCTCTTCGGAGCAGTGTCAGAGCCAGGGTACCGACGTGCTGACGTCTCAGACCTCTGTGTTTTGGACGAGGTTCAGGTCTCTTCCGTCAGAATCTGCTTGTGCTGGGCGCCCCAGCTCCCGGCAGCCACAGTGTGTCCTCTCGCTTTGTAGTCTAGTTTCATAACATTGTTTCAAAGGCAGAAATATTTTCTGAAGCAAAAATTATTATGACATTAAAATGTTTCTTCTAAGATTCTGTAAAATGGAGGGCTCTAGTCGCCTTCTAACCCATTTGCTTCCAAATGACTGTACCTCTTCCTTTCTCTCCTCACTTTAACTTCTAGCAGTTCTCTCTCTCGTCCCTCCCTCCCTCCCTCCCTTCCTTCTTTCTTTCTTTTTTACTTTCTTGTACTTGAAAGGCAGAGAGCTCCTCTGCCCAGTGACTCTCCTAATACCTGCAGTGGCCAGGGCTGGGCTCAGGAACCTGGTACTCCAGCTGCATGACGGGTAACCCAAGGAGCTTTTGCCTTCCTGACATGTTACAGGAAGCTGGAAACAGGCAGAGAGAGGACTCGGTTCCTGGCACGGTACAGGAAGCTGGAAGCAGGCAGAGGGAGGACTTGGTTCCTGGCACAGTACAGGAAGCTGGAAGCAGGCAGAGGGAGGACTCGGTTCCTGGCAGTCCAGCGTGAAATGTGAATGTCCTAAGCTGTAACTTAACCCGCAGCACCTCAGTACTCCTTCTCTAAGACTTCACTGACCGAGCGTTTTTCCATTAAATTATTGGTGTTACAAAGCTCAAAGAATTGCATAGATTATCCAGAACACCTTAGAAGTTGTTTATATGAAGTGTTGGACATAACTTTTTCTGTGAGAGTGAAGACATGCCTCAGTGCCCTGTTGTAATGCTGAGATGGAGTCGAGTCAGTTGGTGTGGGAAGCACTGCATTAGTGCTGGGATTGTCGCATCGGGCACCTGCCCTGCGAAGGGGGACCTTCTTCAAACAAGCTATGGAGTGAATCACATTTGAATCTTATTCAAATAAGTATAAAATAGGCTACATATGCTCTTAAGTAATGGAATGTTTGTGCAGGCTTTCTTGGGGATGATATATTGTAAATATTTTACTCTTCCCTTGCTACTTCTGTAGCACTATTTGACAGTAAGTGTAGTATTCCAGTTGGGAAAATGAGGGCAATATTGCTCATATGTGAAATGATAGAGGATCATACCTGGTTTTGATGAGATTATGAAACAGGCTTGTTGGTAGAAGCTCAAAGGATGCAGTATTACAGTGGCAGTTTGACAAATCTCAAACCTCTCAAAAGGTGCCTGCTCTTTGACCCAATAATTTCACTGCTTTTTAAAAGGGAGGTTTGTTTTCACTCCCAATTTTGGAGGTTCACAGTCTAAGCTTGTAAGAAGGCCCTGCTGAAGCACTCACAGAGCGCACGGGGAGCCAGGTGCACACTCCTCATCTGGCCCCAACTGGCCCCTGCCACGGGGCTCCTCACAGAGCTGCACCCCATCATTGCCCGTGCCTCACAGAGCTGCGCCCCTTCCCAGCCCCGTGCCTCACAGAGCTGCACCCCGTCATTGCCCGTGCCTCACAGAGCTGCACCCCAGTGACCTGTTTCTAATTGCTTCCCGAAGCCCCAGCTTCAGAGACCTTGATCCATTAGCCACTAGAGTAAGACTTTGGGAATCAAACATCTAACAAATGGTGCTGATGTCAATACCAGCTGTGCTGTGTGGTACTGTTTCATAGGTTTCATTGCAGTATGATGGACCTGGAGCTTGGTTGTGAGCATGCCTCTGTATTCTGTCTTGATGAGCCACTGAATTGTTCATGGGACTTCGCCCTAGAAGCCCAACCCAGCCTAATCACTTCACAAGCATCCCATCCTTGTACTGTGCGTTGTAATTGTACTTTGATTCCAACTTAAGTATCAAGTGTGGGGATTATATTAATTGGTTAAAACCAAATGCATTATCGATGCATTTAATTCTAAAGATTTGGGCCTAAAATGCAGCGTCTTTGTGTAGTTGTATAAACATGCTGTGATTTTAAAACAAACAAAAATATTTTCTAGCAGTCTGATTTTTAAAAAGTTTCTTTCTTCAAGTGACGGAGAGGAAGACTCTTCCACTCCCCGAGTCCGCAGGTGGGGGATAGGCTGGGCTGGAGCCTAGGGCTTTGTTCAGATCCTCCTCCTGGTTGACAAGACCGGGAGCTGGCTGTCAGTCCTCTCTGTCCCCCACCTCTTACCTCTTCCGGCTGGAGTGTGCTGCAGCTTTGTCTCCAGAGCGCCCTCGACTGCCAGTCGGAGGAATCCTAACGTTTTATTTCTGTGTTGAGCTCTGGGTGTGTTGGATTTCACGCCTTTCTTTTTCTTGGTCTGCTGATTCTAGCTCCTGAGAATAACTACATGAAGGCAAGTTCTCTGAGGTGTTTATATCAGAAAATATCTGTAGTCCGCTTGGTATTTTTGTTGCACACAGAACTTGAGGGTTTTAAAGCAATTGTTTCAGTTGTGTTTTATCTTCCAGTGCTGATGTTGAATTAACTGTTCCCACTGACTCTCTGTACGTGATCTGTGTCTTTGTTCTTTTGAGTCTGGTAGGTTTATGTTCTGTCTCCAGGGCCCTGAAACTTTTAGAAAGGACACATATGTTTGTTTATTTGAAGTGCAGTTTGATTGAGGGAGGGAAAAGAGGGAGAAAAGAGAGAATTGCTGTGCTGGTTCACTTTTCATTTGGCCATCAGGACCAGGTCTGTGCCAGACTGAAGCCAGGAGCCCTAGTGCTGCGCTTAGTGTCCTGTGCGTGGCAGCGGCCCAGCGTGTAGGTGGTCCTGATGCCTCCCCGAGGCCCGTGGGAGGAGAAGGCTGGATTGAAGCAGGGCAGCTAGGACCTGAGCCAGTGCTCCGACAGGAATGGAGATGTCACAGGTGGGGGGTGGCGTGCTGGCCGGTGGTGCCAGCTGCCCTCGGCTCCTGGGTGCTGCTGTGCCTTAGTTTGAGTGTGAGCCATGGTTGCAGCTTTGCTTTGCTTTAGGTTCTGGGACATTTTCTTGAGTTAAATTTTTTTCTAAGTTTTTTCCATTTTCTCTTAAAATCATTTTTATTCAGATGTTGGTTGATTATTGGTTCACGTTTTTAGTTTTCTGTTTAAAAGATCTCGATCTTATAATTCTATCACATTTTAAGATTGCTCTGTTTACATCACAATGTTTTTTTCTTAATGGGCACAGAATCTTTTGTCATCTTAAAGTGATCATTAAAGCCCTCACTGCTTTGTTCCCTCCCGTAACTCAGTTTCTTTAGAGTTCTTTTTACTTGGTTTGGTTTTGGTTTTTGGGGTCCTCCTCGGTGTGTCTCCCTTTTCCCTTCCCTGCCCCTTCCTCCTCTCATTGCTGTGTACAGAGGAGCACTAAACTGTGACTTTGGACCCATTTGGCAATCTGAAGTCTAGATTTTTGAAACTCATTAAAATGAGAGGAGATCAGTTTTATTAATTTAACACTTACTGAAAAAAGCCCCTACATAGCAATATACATGCTTCCTTATTAACGTATCATGTAAGATCTAGAAATATGTGTAACTGCCATGGTGTTGTGATGGGTAGCCTTCATTCATAATTAACAGAAATGTCTTATGCCTATTAGAAGTTTGCATAAAATAGTTTCTTTTGAACATTGAAATTCTTGGGTCCTTTGAACTCTGTTAGCAGATCAGCAACTCCTCCACAGAGCTTGACCCAGTTGCGTAGGCTCTGAGTGCCTGGAATGTTCCAGAAGCCGCTGGAGCAGCGAGTGGTTGGCAGTCGGTAGTCTGTCCTGTGGATTGGGAGATGCTGTCTCCTCTGTGGGTCTGTGTGTGGGATTCAGGTCTCCCCTGGGAACACTCCAGGATCCCACCTTTGTAGGTTACCAGTATTCTCACAGACAGGTCGTGCTGTCCTCTTACGGGGCAGGGTAGTGAAATCAGCTCTTGAAATTTATCCTGAATGGTTATTAGAAATGCTCCTGTGACGTAAAGTGGTTCTGGGAAAGAGAGTTGGCTGTCTTGAATGCTTTCAAATCTGCACTATGACAATGACGCTGAGCTGTTCATTGAATTTATGTCAGATTTTCACTTTAATTTTCCAGGAGCTTTCAAGTTGTGGATGGAATAAAAAAGAGAAACACAGTTCCGCACCAAATGCAGTTGCCTTCACAAGACGATTTAATCATGTGAGTTCTTTTTATACTTTTAATCGTTTCTGAGATGCGGTTTCTCAACGTGTACCCTTTTCACTGAGAAGTAATGGAATGCTTCACCACACTTCTGCGATGCTTGTGGCCGGTTACCGCCCTGCTGTGGCTCCCTGCCTGATCCCTGCCGTTTTCCCCTCTGCAGCATGACTGGAACTTTGCCAGAACCTGACATTCTTTCCTCTTTGTCCCTTTACCTTGTATATTTTCCATCGATCTGCTTGTGTTCTGTCTGGAGTGGATTTCCCCAGATCTGTGTTTCACTTACTCCCCCTCAGTGCATTTTATCTGTTTTATACCTGTGTATTTTATAATAGTGTTGTTTTTTAAAAACCGACAGTCATTTTCAGCATTTCCTTTTAGGTTATGTTATTGTCTGAAGCCTTGGAATCCTAAGTCTCTGCTCATTTTTTCTGACTTTTTAATGGTTTATTTATTTATTTATTTACAGATTTCTAATCTTGGATTGAAAACTTACATTGCTTTAAGCTTTATGAGAGTTCTGCTAATGCCTAATAGTGCATCCCTTTTTAATTTTTTAATTTACAAAATGGGCGCCAACTTGAAATGTTTCACGTATGCAGCTTTAGCAGCACAGTGATTGTTGCCACACTGCCCTCATTCCCATTCTTTCTCCTTTTCATGTTTTTAATTTTTTGCAATGGCACACTTCTTTGAATTCTCTTTATAGTACATTCCTTCTGAGAGGCTTTTTGTTTATGTTTGTTGGGCCTCAGAGCTGTTACAGGCATCAAAATATGCTTTACGCTAAATATTTTGGTTGAGGAATATTGGTACTTTTCTGTAGTGGAAATATAAATTCCACATCCAGCTGAAGGCAAGCCTAGTTATAAATTGCTATTAAAGACTCGTCTCCTTGCCTGTTCTCAGTCTCGGCTAAGGCAGGTAAGCTTGGTGTGTCTCCCCTTCCCAGTAGCTGAGTTGTTCCAGTCCACCTTTTCACTGAGTGTGCAGCCCATGGAGGGATGGTAGAAGGGACTGGTGTAGGGCTGGTGTTGGTTCATGGAGAGCAGGTCAGTCCCCAACCTCTGTTACACGTGAAGGGACAGCTGCCCGTGCACTCTCGGAACCTCTGCTCGGCGTTTATTTCCTTCACTGTTTTGGCCTCTAGGGAAATCCTTATTTTTCTTCTAACTTAGACATACATTTTTGGGTTATATTTATCCTAACATTTTGGGGGGCTTACAGAAAATAGTTTTTCAGGTTAAACGTGTTCTCACAAGTAGAAGTGGGTTGGGTTAAGGGTTGGTTTTTTTTTTTTGGTTAGACCTATTAATAGGGCACAGGACAAACATGTCTTGTACTGGATCATACATTTGAGTTTTATACAAGTTGTTTTAAATTTTTTTTTTTCTAAAATGGTCAGAATTTATTGTTGCAATAAAAAATTTTTTCCCCTTAATTACAAAGCATTATGTTACAACAGTCAAATTTGGCTTTAGTTATAAGTATTCTTATTTTTTGTTTACTAAGATAAACGATTTACCAGAATTCTATGTGTCACAATGCTAAAAGCTCTTATCCTTATTGCTGACCGCAGCTGATCCTGTGGGAAGCTCCACTGTGTAGTTGCTGCGTTACTCTGTGACTTTCTGGTGGGGTCTTGGGAAATTTGAAGTAGCAAAATAGAAAACAAGTTAGGCAAAATCTTTAGTGGGTAGACTGTGTGCATCTTTATTTTAAAAATAACTCTCTTGTAGACAGCATGTTGTTGAGTCCTCCTTCTTTTATCCAGTCTGACAACCTCAGCTTTTTCTGTTAAACTCAGCATAAAGGTCAATGCAGTTGTGTGTTTTTATGTATATGAAGTCCCCACCCCCATATTAGCATTTTCTATACCTGTGGATTATGTTATCAGAACCAAAAGATTAGCAGTGTGATACCAGTAAGGACCTCATTCACTAGACAGACTTTTTTTCCACGAATTCCTTCTTTGTTGTTCTGACATACCCCTTTGGTTTCCATATTACATTTAATTGCCACTAATTCCAACAAAAGGGGCCGCTTTCTATCAAAAGCTTTTCTCCAAACTCTGTCAGCATTTCCTGTTTCTTTGCGTGGTATAATCATCATTTTGGATGGGATCTTACAGATTCTAGCTCGTATTTCCTTCTCTTGCAGAGCACTGATGTGTATTTTAGTGGTCAGTTAGCCTGACAGGACTTAAACACTGCAAGTTCTCTCTCCTTGGAGGACAGATCACCTCTTTCAGCCTTCTAGGTTCGTTTTGCTTTCACTTGAGCTTCCTGTAGTTGCCTCTGTGTGTGTGCCACAGGCTGAGGTTAGCCAGGAATTTGGTTAGTTTATATATAGCTTTCTGGGGGCTCTGCCCTGCACTTCAGAAATGCCCCCTGTCTAACCTTGTCCTCTGGCTGCGGAAGGGCTTGCAGCTGTGAAGTCTCTTCTGGCATCCATACCCGACGCAGTGCTGGCTGGGCACTTCCTAGATGTGCATCTTAGCTCAGTTTGTTCCCCCTTTCTTTCCATTGCCAGTTGTCCAGTTTTGGTCCCTCTTTTGTATGTTTTTTTTTTAAGAGGTTTTTTTTTTCTTTGATATTTTGTAATTATACTCAAATAAATTCTCCCTAAAATACGGGCTGCTTACTCTGTTATTACCAAAAGTGGAACTCTATCTCATCTCTTTTAAAAACTCTCCTACCTTATTATCAATATAATAACGTGGGCCCGGCGCAGTGGCGCAGTGGTTAAGGTCCTCGCCTTGCACGCCCGGGATCCCGTATGGGCACCAGTTCTATCCCAGCAGCCCCACTTCCCTTCCAGCTCCCTGCCTGTGGCCTGGGAAAGCAGTTGAGGATGGCCCAAAGCTTTGGGACCCTGCACCCACGTGGGAGACCCGGAAGAGGCTCCTGGCTTCGGCCGTAGTGCTCACTTGGGGAGTGAATCATCGGATGGAAGATCTTCCTCTCTGTCTCTCCTCTCTGTATATCCGCCTTTCCAATAAAAAAAATAATAATAACGTGTTTTGCAGGGAAGTTAAAAGGACTTTAGGAATGTGGAAAGCAGGGGAGGGAGTCGCCCAGTCACTGCCCACGTTTCAGGACACAGACTTTCATTTTTCATTTTTCCTTAGTTCATACTTTCTAGCCAAGCACCGTAGAAAGGGTCTCAAAGTTCATGAAAAATGCACATTGTATTTTCAGAAAATTTAACAAATACCCTGTATATGTTCTTGTAGCATAAAATCACCCAGGAACTTGTTAAAATTCTTGTGAGAGCGAGAGCCAAAGCGAGTGTAGACATGCTCCCTGTCACCCAGGCCAGCCGGGGCCAGGCTGAGCCCCTCCTCCGAGGTGGCCGCTGGGAACCCAGATGCTTGGCCCGCCACCTGCTGCCTCTGGCGGTGCACACTGACAGAACGCTGGAGTCAGGAGCGGGACCACCAGTCCCAGGCCTGTAGGGCTGCAGGCCCCGGAAAACCTTTAGATTTTAATTTGATTCCTCTGCTTCATTTCCTCAAAAGGCTGCAAAAGTTGGGGTGGGCCTGGCCAAGGCTGCATGGGCACTGGTTCGAAATGTACACCTCCACTTTGTTCCCAGCTCCATGATAATGTGCCCAGAATGGGTCCGTGTTCCAAGCTTGTGGCTTTAGGAAGTTAGCATCCATTTCACCAATACTGTATTCATCAAGAGAACTCAAAAAAACATGACAAACACTTTGTATTGGAAAATCACACTTGCATTTCTATGTGATGAGATTAAATCAATAATCATGTTCTTTTGACTCAAATTCATAGATGATATCTGCTAAGGTTATTTAAATATCTAACCTTTGGTGTTTTTTGGGGAACTAAATCTTACTAGAATCTGGGAGATATGCTACCAACAATAGCGTAAATATAGAACAAGGAATTAAGAAAGATGACTTTGTGAAATATGGAGGTTCTGTGTATTTAAATATATGCTTGTAAGACATAAACCTGATCTTGTCCTTCCATCTTCATCTTCATTTTCAGGTGAGCTTTTGGGTTGTCAGAGAGATTCTTCATGCCCAGACATTAAAAATTAGAGCAGAAGTTTTGAGTCACTATATTAAGACTGCAAAGGTAAGATGATCTTGTGCTTTTATTTCTTGAGTTTAACTGTTGAGAAGTGAATATTTACCATTTATCATTTACTGATACTGGAGAAGGGAGTTATAATTAACACAGGTGAATTTTTGAAATTGGTTGCCTATTTTCTCTGCTTTTTCTCTCACGCCTGCTTTCTACCCCTTCTGTTTCTTTCCTCTTTGTCTCTTGAGCCACTGAATTATGGTATCTGTTGCACTGGATAAATACAGGATGGATCAGATTCTGGTTAACCATGATGCTAACAAAGTACTGAAGTGCTCCGCAGGTATCGGAAAACTCTACAAGATTCCAGGACAGTGCATGCAGCTTTGTGGGGGTTTTTCCTCTAAGATTTATTTTACTTCCTTAAAAAGGCAGATTTACAGATGGAAGGAGAGACAGAGAGGTTTTCTATCCTCCCCAGATGGCAACATCAGCCAGGACTGAGCCAGCGCCAGCCTGAAACGCAGGGCCAGGAGCTTCCACCTGGCGGTAGGAGCGCAAGCATGGAGCAGCCAGGATTAGAAACGGTGCCCATCTGGGCTGCTGGCACTGCTGTGCTGTGCGCCATGTCGGCCCCCATATCAAGTGTGGCTTCTGCAACAACACTCCACACACCGTATCAAGAATAAGAAGACTTTATCTTTGAAACAATAGAGTGAACACTTACTTTTATGGCACAGGTGCTCAGTGAAGCAATGGATTTCATGAATAGTTAGAATTTAGGGTTGAGGGTTGAACAGGACACTCTGCGAGAAGATGCTGAAATTTTATTAAGATATACCAGCTCCAGATTTGTGTTAAGATCTCCTTAAGACATGTGGGAATTGGAGCCTTGTTGATTCTTCATTATTTTCATCATATATACATAACATACATCCCCTGAAAATAAAGAAGGTGGGATACAAGAGGATGTGTTTGCTGTCCTGTGCTCAACACTGCTTGGTAGCTGTTGTCTTTAACACAGTCTGGCACTAGGTGGCAGAGCTGGTCTTCTCCAAAGGACTCTTGCCAAAGTGTCATCCGCATTTTAAAAACAGTGTGATATGTTAGTGTTTTTAACCAAGACATTACCTTTTGACATAAATTTTAATTTGCCTTGGTTTTCTTTGATATTTTTATATTTACTCATATGTTGAAGTCAAAACCAGCATCTTTTAGCCATCAAACCTGTCATCATCCTACTCAGCACACAACTGCTACCTTCTGGTTTGGATTCTTAGGTCTCGGGCTGCTTTTGACAGCACTGGCCGCCATGCCAGCCCCTGGACTCCTGATTAGTTTTTGCTCGTCACTTTCCTGACTCTGCCGTCTGTGTTCACCGGCAAGTTTGTCGTCTTCCGTTAGTAGAGTGTGTCTTTCCCTGTTGTCCAGAGGGAACCAGCTCCTTCTACGTAAACCCACATGATTGAGCGCAGATGTAAGACACATGTAGACATCTGTGGAACTGGTTCATATGCCCGTGAACTCTGACGAGTCTGAAGTCTGTAAGGCAGGCCTACAATGTGGGAAATCAGGCAGGAGTGGAGCAGTCATTTGTACTTTTAAGGATTTTATTATTATTATTATTATTATTATTATTATTATTATTATTATTATTATTGAAGACTAATTTATTTGAAAGGCAGAGAGACAGAGCCAGATCATTTGTCTGTTGGCTCACTTCCCAGATGGCTCTAAGTGCCAGGGCTGGGCCAGGCTGAAAGGTGGCAGGGGCAAGGCTCAAGCACTTAGAACATCTTTTGCTGCCTTGCCAGACACATTTACAGAGAGCTGAATCGGAAATAGAGCAGTTGTATGGCAGCTGGCGCTCTGCCACGGGATGCTGGCATAGCAAGTCGTGGGTTTGCCTGCAGTGCCACTCCAGTCCTTTGACCATAGTTTTGAAGAAGAATTTTTTCTTTTCTGGACAAGCTCAGTTTTTACCTATACGGCCTGAACTAACTGAATCACAAGCAGCTCTATTTAGGCATCATCTCTTAAAGTCAGTAAGTAACTACAGCAAGTAACTCAGATAAGTCTGTATCTACTGTGGTACAGCAAAAGTTGACACATTTAATTTTACCATTACAACAACCATCTGTGGAAATAGTTAAGATAGCAAAAAAACATAAATCTCTAACTTCTCACATTCCTCTTATAGATCTGTATTTTTCTTATAGTTGAATTCTGTATTTGTATTCCTGAATGATAAATTATTCCATAAATATGTATTTGGACTTTGTTTCAGTTGAATTATTCCATTTTTGCTTTTTTGAGAGAACTTCAAAAAGTTTGTGGAAATGAAATTAAAAGTTTAATTTGGTAGGAAGACACTTTGGAATCTATGCATAAAGTTCACAGAAATGTGTGTTGTGAGAAGCTGTGTGGGTTTCACAAACACCAGAATAGACATTTAAAAGTTGTGTTTTCCATGAACTTTTAAAATGCCTTCATATACTTTCATAACTTTTTAAATGTCTGTGTTCCTCAGTGGTTTTGAGTGAAGCTCTGCTGTGCAGCAGTTCCCGGTGTTTGCAAATGCCACAAATGTAATAGATGGTTTGGTTTCCAGAATTTTGCTGTTACCAAGATTGCTGCTGTAAGCATTCTTACAGGAGTTTCTTGGTACTTGTACAAATGGTGATGTTCTAGAAATGCTGTGTGGTTTGCTCATCTCTTTCATGTTGTTTTGTAGACTTGTTCCACTGATAGGCGCTCTAGGTACCAATGTTTGAAGGTACCTGTCGTTCACGGCGTATCACTGTTTAATATTGTTAATATCACTGATATTGTTAGAATTTCTGTTGTTTTAAACTATGGCTGTTGTGAAACGTACCTCATTTTAAAATGACTGTTCAAGGCTGCTAAACAGGATTGCCATAAACCAAGTGGCATAAGCCACACGTTTTCTCACAGTTCAGGAGAGCTATTAAGATGAAGTTGAAAAGCACTGTGGTGGACAGAAGGGATGCGTTTGCTTGAAATGTCACCAAGGGATTAGTCGCAGTGGGAGTTGCTCGGAGGAGAGCCTTATTTGCTTGTAACAAGTAAGGGAGATAGAGGGACAGTATAGGTCGGCAGGACACTCTGGCTTGAGGAGCAGTTTGCCAGGACTTTATAGCAAGGGTGAAAGGGGCGCGTCCAGGCTCCAGAAGAGGGCTGGAGGGAGGGTGCAGCTTGCAGTGTGCGTCCCGATGCAGTGTGTGTTCAGAGTCTTGACTCAGACTGGTTTCTTGCAGCTTTCTTTGCGGTGGTCTGCCCTACTCCAAGTACCGTGTTGGAAGGTTCGCTGAAAAGCAAGCTCTAGCTAGTGAATTTTATCCTCTTCCTGTGCTGCTGTGGGCCCCTGCCTGTAATCTTACAGCCTTAGTTGTAGCACCGACTCACTCACCATCTCTGCCGTCATCTTTGCCTTGAGATCTGGAGTTTTATTCTTCAGGATGGCTTCGGCTGTTCGTGTGCGTCTTCCCCAGAAGCCTTGTCTCTGAGTGCTGTCACTGGGGGACTGCATCTCAGCATGCACTCACCACAGTGACTGATCCTCCAGGTTCTCTGGCTCACTTGCATATGCAAATTGACAAGAAGTGCAAACCAGGCAGGGTTAACTGAGGGCCTAAGTTTGAGCACAAATGAGACAGCACGACAGAAAGGGGTCCTCTGCCCGGGTCAGCAGTGGCATCTTAGGTGTGACCCCTGTGGGTAGGAAGGTGTGGCGCTTCCTTCCTGGCACACACGGCATTTCGTCTGTCCCCAGCCCAGTTCTGGCTCTCGTTTGGAACGTGGCTTGCTGACTTGCACCCAGCTGGTGTTCTCTGCATGCGCGATCCCTTCGTTTGCACTCAGTACATTCAAAAGGGTGATGCTGCCCACTGCCCCCACCACACGGGAAGGTCATGTGTCAGTCACGTTGGGATGTCTGGGCATGTGAGCAGGCTAGGGGAGTCTCTTAGGGTGCTGGGAGACTCATTTGCTGCTGGTCTAAATGCTTCTTGCTTCTGATTGATTGCTTTGGAGTTGGAGGTAGATTGTCAGATTGGGAAGGGTTTAGCATAGTGAGTAGCAACTAGCTAATTAATAGTAGCAACTCAGCAGCAACTAGTTTATCTTTGAAAATTTTATCTGGGGCCAGCATTGTGGTGTAGCCAGTTAAGCTGTCACTCGAGTCACCAACCTCAACCTGGACACTGGTTCCAGACCCAGTTGCTCCACTTCTAATCCAGCTCCGTGCTTATGGCCTAGGAGAGAAGTGGAGAATGGCCCAAGTCCATGGGACTCTGAACCTACCAAGGAGACTGAGAGGGAGCTGCTGGCTTCCGCCTGACCCATTCATGGCTCATGTTGCCTTTTGGGTAGTGAACCAGTGGATGGAAGGTCTTTCCTTCTGTCTGTAAATCTGCCTTTCAAATAAATAAATAAATCTTAAAAGAAATTATTATACTAATTTCTGAAACTATGAGACATATTGTCCTTAAGGATTATACAGCTTTGATTTTCTTACTTGGGTGTTTAGTTCCAGTGGATTACATTTTTATTTGTCCATATGCGACTTGGAAATTCTATATGAGGGTTTGATACAGTTTACTTACTTTTAACTGCTACGCAAATTAAGGACAATATTTCTATCATCTCATAGTTTCTTCAGGCACATTTCCAAACACCGTATCCGGCAGCTTGCTGCACCAGCATGCCCCACTGCCCTAGTGCTGTCAGAGAAAGTTATTCCTGGGATCTATATAAATGGCATCATTGAGGATGTGCTCTATTGTGGCCAGCTATTTTTGCCACCTAAATGTTGAAATTCATCATGTTTTATGTTATCAACAGTCCCTTTTTTGTTTGTTTTGCTCGCTAGCTTTCCAGTATATTCCATTACCACTGTTTTCTTATTAACAGAGTTGTTTTTAGTTTTTGACTTTCATGAGTGAAGATTGGGACAATTATTGTGGAATGTTTTTCGTAGTTCATACTTAGAAGTCGACTTGCTGAGTGATCGATTCAGCATGTGTTAGCTTCGTTAGAAACACCCAGATAAGGCTTGTGCTGCTACAGTGGGTTAAGGTTCCCCGGCAGCAGGCACTGCGTTCCATGCTGAGTGCCTGGGTGTGAGTTCGGGTGCCACGCGTCCCACCCAGCTTCTCCTGAGGCTCGCCTCCCGAGTTGCTGCTCCCCACGTGGGAGGAAGGCAGGAGAGAAGGGCCTCACTGCTTCATTTCAGGTTTGTGAAGACATTTTCCTTTGATCACTGCCAGGAACTTTAATAGTCTTAAGTGTTAAAGGATCCATGTTGAATTAATTTTCATGTATGATGTAGTATAGTATGTAGGAGTCAAGGTTATTTTTTTTTTGCCCCTCTTAAGAATATCTAGCTGGGGTGGGGAGGACCCTGCGCAGTGCCCTCGCAGCTTAAGCCCTTGCCTTAAACGCGCCTGGATCCCATATGGGCACCAGTTCTAATCCCGGCTGCCCCGCTTCCCATCCAGCTCCCTGCTTGTGGCCTGGGAAAGCAGTCGAGGACGGCCCAAAGCCTTGGGACCCTGCACCCACGTGGGAGACCTGGAAGAGCTCCTGGTTTCAATTGGCTCAGCTCTGGCCACTGTGGCCACTTGGGGAGTGAATCAACAAACGGATCTTCCTCTCTGTCTCTCCTCCTCTTTGTATATCTGACTTTGCAATAAAAGTAAAATAAATCTTAAAGAAAAGAAAGAATATCTAGCTCTATTCCTTTCTCTGTTTAAGTGCTTTGGCAGTTTGGTTGAAAATTACTTAATTAGGTACTTGTACTTTTCTGTGTCATTACTTGTCCATTCTTTACTTCAGTATCTTGTTGTCTTAATTTCCATAAGCTTATAGTAATTCTTGAAATCTTGCTGTGGTCGATCTTTGTTGTTCTCCAGTAATATTTCAGCTATGCTGTGTCCTTCAGATGTCTGTTGGAATTTTATGGTTAGAGTGTATGTTTCCACAAAGTGGTCTGCCTAAATTTTCCTTAATGTTTTGTTGAATACATAGATCATTTTGGGAAAAAATTGATAGCCTAAAATGAAAACTTTCAGTCCAATTGATGTGGTATGTATGTTATATTCTCTTTAACTTCTCTCTGCAATGCTTTGATAGTTAAAGTATTTGAGTATTATTTTGTTTTAATCTCATTTTCTTTGTCTTTCTTTTTCGTTGCTATTACAGCCAGAACAGGGTACGACTTGTTCTTCATCTTAACCAGAAATCACAGGACCAGCCTGAGAAGGCTGCTGTTTGCTCATTTTTGCTAACAACATTTTAAGTGTTTATTTGGGCTGCAAATTTACAGGAGATGCCTCTACACTTCCCTGAGTCCTAAGCTTGAGGACAGGCCTTGGTGCTTGCTGTGCTCGGTGGTTGTTGAGGGGTGCTGCTATCCTGTCCCCTCTGACGTGTTTGCCTTGTGTGAGGGCGAGTTCACATCAGACCCGTGTCCCCTGAAGCTCAGAAAACCAGCTAGAGTGGCAGATGCCCTCCAGATGATTGGCAGTTCTCCTCTCCGGACTCTGGTTGCCCGTGTTTTCTCCCTAGCCTACTGGGGCATCTTCACAAGATGCTTTCCACGTCTTGCCTGCCCACCACTCCTCTGCTCCATATGAATCTATCCTTTTACTTCAGTTCCACTTACCCTGGCTTATTTAAAAACTTTGTAACTGTATCTCTTCTGGACCACTGAAACAGTTCTGAAGAGTTCCCCTTCTGTGTGCTTCCTTCCACTCTGATGTTTCTAAAATGTAATGCATATCAGTATTAGTTGTTCAAGTCTTTGAGATCAGATATTTGTAGAATTTTTCTTTCCCTTCAGATTTTATAAAGGTTGTACAGTCCACTCCTTGGAGATTGTAGCTTGGAATCAAACACGTTACATACATACGTTTGGAACCAAGCATGTAGTCATTCACCACAAGTCTATCATAAGCCCAATATTAAGTCATAGTTTTCCAGCAAAAGAATTTGAAGCCACACTTAACCAAAACAAAAAAGAGAACTTTGGACCTGTCAGTTTTTGGATTTTAGGATTGCAGTGAAAGTGTTGTGAACTGGCATCTGGCATTTGAATATGCCATCCTCAGCTTTTTAAAATTCCAGAAGACTCCGTGAGAGCGAGGCTAGCCTCCTTACTTCCCATTCGGGCGCGCCATTATCTCCCAGCTCATCCTTTGTGCAGCCTGTGTCCTGCAGGTCTTCAGGCTATCTGTACGCGTGTCCATTCTCAGTTCGGGTCGTCTGCAACCCTGACACAGGGTCACACTGATGCTTCCATTCGGTTGTAAATCCTGAATACACTTTCATTGTAGAAATATGCAGCTTGATTGTCTGTTTTGCTTTCATGTCTGTTTGGCATCTTGTGCCTAACCCACAGTAAATGCTTAATGTACATTTATTGAATGGTTCCCCAGTTGTCTAGTCAACTCAGAGCTATTTATTTTTTTTTTTTTCTGTCTTTGGATTTTTAATGAAATGTTTGAGGCACAGCATTTTCCAGACCAGAGCTTGGTGGTAAGGTTAGGACAGTTCTAAAACACCAGTTTTTATGTGTTATTATTTTTTTTGAGTCAGGACATTTGGGATTATTTCACACATCATGAAGTATGAAAAAAAATCTGGGAAATTAACAGTAAGTGTCAGGTAAACCTCTTGGTGAAGCCTGGTGTTAGGCAGGTTCATTCTGCATGTGAATTCCAACAAAATGTTCAGTCCAGTGTGAACAACAAAGGATCTGAGACATCAGGAAGGGAGATGAGGGAAGGCAGCCTGGGGTTCCAGCCCGGAATAACAACAGTAAGAACACGGGCTAGGAAACCAAATCAGGGTCCTAGGATTTAGATCTGTCTTGTGAAATTTGGAACATGAATCTGATGACTGATAATGTTTCAGTATAAGAAAAGAGATGGTTTAGGTAAACCTGAACTCTGAGCCATTAGTTTGATTTTATGTATTTGTTACCCCGGGCCATTGCTGTGGCATGGTAGGCTCAGCTTCTTCTGTGGTGTTCACGTCCCATAACAGCACCAGTTCATATCTCGGCTGCTCCACTTCTGATCCAGCTGCCTGCTTATGACCTGGGGAAGCAGTCGAGAATGACCCAAGTCCTTGGGCCCCTGCACCCATTTGACAGATTCGGAAGGAGCTCCTGGCTTCAGATGAGCCTAGCTCCAGCCATTGTAGCCAGTTAAGGCAATAACCAGAACCCTCTCTCTTCTGTTTCTCCTTCTGTAACTCTGCCTCTCAAAGAAAAATGGCATGAATCTTTTTTTAAAATGTTACTCAGCTTGAGACATATTTGTTCCCAGACTTGGGGACAGTGCTACCATTGAAGGTGAAAGTTTAGTTGTGTGCCAAATCCAAACTCTGTAAACACAGCAGGTACTCGGAGACAAGTGCAGAGACACAGCCAGTTGACCTAGGTCGTACATGCTAATACACATTTTTCTTGCGTTCATGTTACGTGTTTTTTATTCCTCTGCAGAAGCTGTATGAGCTGAATAACCTTCACGCACTTATGGCGGTGCTTTCCGGCTTGCAGAGTGCTCCGATTTTCAGGTTGACTAAAACATGGGCGGTGAGTAACCTTGCTTAGCTCCTGAAAGGTTAGACTTCCTGGGGGAATCAAAATGTATTCATTTCTTTTGTAGTTCTTAGTAAGGGTGATATTATGATAATAGATAGGGATTTTATAATAAACTGTGTTCTTCAAACCCTCATTTGGTCTTTCACATTGTTCCACCAAGTTTATCAAGTGATGCTCTGGTCACCTACTGTTTGGTAGGCTGTCTCTGCTCATTAGGTAATGTTTTTAACTTCTCTGACAGTTTATAGTTTTAGTGTTTCATACTCATTTGATTTAGCCAATTACCAAAAAAAACCATTTGTTTGAAGATGTGTTAAAGATTATGTTTTTAGGGAATTTGTCAAAGGTGCTAATTTTAAGTTTCACAAGTTTAGTGATTTCAGCTTCTGGAATTTTAAAATCAGAAAACCTTAGGGCTTTTCACCCTTCGTTATTGTTTAGGAATAATGGCAGATCCAAGCGCCGTACCTGCAGTCACTGACTCCTGGGTTCAGCCTGGTCCAGCCCCAACTACTGTGGGCATCTGGGGAATGAACTAGCAGGTGGAAGGTGCTTTTGGCTCCCTTGTTCTCTCTCTGCCTTTCAATTAAAAAAAAATAATAATAATAATAAACTTTATTAAATATTGAAAGATGACTTAAATTTCAAAAAGGGACATTCAACAGGCATAATTGATCAAGAATGCACAACAGGAATATATAAAGAACTTCTGTATGTGTGCACCTTTAGAATATGTTGTGCAGGGCTGCAGAGTGGTGAGGCATAGCCTGGAGACCTAGCGGTTCTTGACATGAGCTGCCATTCATGTGCACATTCTCCAGGGCAGGTTGTGGATGGTGGGTGGCCTGGAGCTCTGGCCAGAGCATCTGGGAGCCTCGGCTTCTTTACGGTGCTCCCAGTGAGCGCGTGATAAACTTTGCCTCCATTTGTCATGCTCTTGGCCAGAGGATCGTCAGCAAGGACATACAAGGGATGAGGCATTGCGAAATAGTTTTTCCTTTTATTTGAGGATAAAACACATTGTGAAATGAAGGCATGGCCCTATAGTGTCAGAAAAAAGATTTGGAAGGGAAGAGAAGAAAATTTGTACTCCTATTTGTACTGAGTCTCCATGTTATCTAGTGCTAAGTACATAGGTCAGTATTTTTTAGTTATTTATATCTCTATTTTTCCTCCAGTTAGTTTTCTGGACAAAGATCTTTCCTTTTGATCTAGATGGACTCCTGTTGATCTAGTTACTGGTTTATTATAAACACTACAAAATGTTAAACATCTTAAACCAAGTATTGTTTGGTACTGTTTGACCTGTGGCAAGATCATTATGAGTTCTAAGTCATTTGTTTCTCGTATTGTACTACAGTTCCTCACTGAGTTGACAAATCCCTATACAAGCGATGTTTTGCATGTCTGAATGCTTTGTTATATGGGAGAGCAAGAGATGGTTACACGGGCCCGGCGCGGTGGCGCAAGTGGTTAAAGGTCCTCGCCTTGCACGCCCGGGATCCCATATGGGCGCCGGTTCTAATCCCGGCAGCCCCGCTTCCCTTCCAGCTCCCTGCCTGTGGCCTGGGAAAGCAGTTGAGGACGGCCCAAAGCTTTGGGAACCTGCACCCGCGTGGGAGACCCGGAAGAGGCTCCTGGCTTCGGATCGGCATAGTATCGGCCCGTTGCGCTCACTTGGGGAGTGAATCATCGGACGGAAGATCTTCCTCTCTGTCTCTCCTCTCTGTATATCCGCCTTTCCAATGAAAAAAATAATAAAAATAAATCTTTAAAAAAAAAAGAGATGGTTACAATCACAGGTAGCAAATAGGGATTTGGACCTGAGCTTGGAAATGTGACATGTTCTGAAGTGGAGCAAGTACAAATAGTAAAAACCACTGTTTCAGGTCATGGAATAGTGGACTAAAGCAAAGTGCTTGTTGAAACTGTATTTTAAAGAAGAAAGGATAATGTTCAGACAGTTTTCTGTTAGAGATTATCTGGAGATAATCTGCATCTCTGAACCTATCAAACATAGATCCCAACGATGTTAATTTATGATGCTGGCAAGAGTGGTGGGTTAGTGGGTTAGGTGTCAGTGTGCTTTCATCTGCAGAATCAGGCTGTGAGGTCCTGAAGACCAGCGACATGAGAGTTTGTGAGCCAGTGAGTGCAGGTATAATCTATTCTGCTCTCTGCCAGCACTGTGAACCTTCTAGTTCCATCTTCTCAAAGGGTTCTGTTAGTCTCCTACGAGAATTAGATAAAAATTGTGTAGGTGGAAGTGTTTTTTCCTTGCTGTAAAATAACACCAATATTTCGAGATGAAACAAAGCAACATTTAATCACATGATAAGGAAGTAGTAACTTCATAAGCTTATAGGATAGAGAGTGCTTTCCCATGGTCTTTGGAATGATTCAGATGAACAATTCCTGAACTTTGAGTTCATGTTTTGTGGGTGACTGAACCTTGCTTTGCTTTTACTCCCCTTGGCGGTTGAGCTCAGTGAGCACTCATTACAAATTTACTTCCCAAGCCCCTTGAAATAGTGCCTTCTACTATACATAGCAGGCACTGATGAGGTGTTAGAGAAAAAAGCAATGTCTTGTCACAAGCCAACAAAAAGTAGAGAATTCCAGTGTTCTGAATGGATGATTAGGATTGACCGTGACTGGATCTGTGCTGGACGATTGCTGTAGGGTTTTGTTTCTATTTCTTAAACATTATAGAAGCATGATCTCTTACCTATAAGGAGACAGGTCTGTTAAAATATTTGTGCATTTGCGTTAAATATGAATACACAGTTATTTTAAATTAGGAAATGGTCAAAATTGCTTAGCCATTTAAAACTTTAAAGATAAATAATATAATTTTTATGCCTAGTAGATTAATTTTACAAACACACAAAACGCTTAAAAATAATTTGGAGTGTTAAAAGATGTAACTGATAATTGTTTCTGCATTACCAAAATTATCTAATGAAGGTGTGGTTTTGAAAGTAAAACACAAATTTGCAGTAAAATAGCTTTATTTTAGGTCTTGGCTATAATAAAACTGGATTTGTAAATAATTTGTTTTTTTCATTGTTTTTAGTTATTAAGTCGAAAAGACAAAACTACCTTTGAGAAATTGGAATATGTAATGAGTAAAGAAGATAACTACAAAAGACTCAGAGACTATATAAGCAGCTTGAAGATGACACCTTGCATTCCTTACTTGGGTGAGTTATGCCGACTCCTTGTTCAGTGGTCAGTATATTTTTGAAGTGAATGTATCCTTTATATAAATTGCAAATGTATTTTCATGTTAAACTAGCTCTTTGCTGTTAAGGTTTCAGATTCTAAAGGATGGGCCATATGGTAAAGTTGTTATGTGTTATCACTGCTTTTTAAGAATGAGTTTCATCAAGATTTTTATATAATTGGCAGGTAATTAGGTATGAATACTGCATTATAGCCTCAATATTAATATCAGCATTATTGCTTAGATGAAGTGGGCTGTCGTGCAAATTCCACTGAGTGCATACTATCTAAGACTTTATTTTTAGGTGTCTTGTAGTATCTATAAATTCAAACAAATATTTAAGCAATAACATTTTCAACAATACAAATGTTTTAATTAAGTATTCGAAGTTTCAAAACTTTTTCAATTTGTGTGTAAATTAAATATATAGAAAGATAGTCTATAGTATAAATAACTGGGATACATTAAAATAAATCGTTTTGATCTGAACAGTACCTCGGTGCCCCTCGCCTCCACCCACCCCGGCTACACTAGGCCTTTTCTGGAGCTGTTTCTGAGAGATCTGAGTATTACACTCTGTTCCTTTAATAACTCATTCAGGACCTTATTAAGCATGACTATCAGAGGGGCTCTGAGCTGGGTATGTGTCCACTCGTGACCATAGGCTTAGCTGTGCCCGTACTCGGAGGTACAGTTTGGTGGTAGAGAGGAGGAACAGAAGATTTTTATCGTATACTAACTTTATCGTGTACAATGGAAACAGTCTTGAGCGTGAATCGTGGCATGTTTGAGTGAGCATTAAAATCCTCAGCTCTCAAATGACTGCTCTGTGAGCTTTTTGGGTTAATGAAGTGTCTTCTTTGGACATTGTTATCTTTGACTGGAAAAAACACGCATAGAACCAGAATTATGTTGTGTAGACTGGATGGAACCATAACAATATCTTAAAAATCACTTATTTTACTGTTGAGAAAACCAAACTCCAAAATTGTAGAAGACGTCTTCATTCGTAGTGCGAAGGTCAAGTTACCGCCAGATCCCACAGTCTGAATACCTAACCATTTGCCAGTTACATCTGCTGAATTTCCATCCTTAAAACAAATGCTGATTTCAGATTTAGGGTTTTTTCCCCCCTCATTGAAATATGTAATTTTGTTGTTTTATTATTTAGCCTCCTCACAGAGTTGAGGGGATGCTCTCTATCTTCAGTTTGATCTCAGGACTGTTCTTTTTAATTCTCCTAACTCATAATCTTACATTTCACTATCACCCATGACGTTCTCCATTAAAGTCACCACCGACTTTGTAGTTGAAACATTTGATGGGTCTTTCTGAAGAATCATCTTAATTTTATCAGAGTTGATGCATAAATTTTCCATGAATGGCAGGAATCTCTTATTTTTCATTCTGTACTTCTGGTCTTTGTTGATTGGCGGCTCTTTGCCATTCTCCGAAATGTATTTTCATAAAAACCTAGTTCGCTTCTTTTTCTTGCTTCATATATTCATGTTAAGTAGTTCACGCTTTTCCCAAGTAATGCCCAACACTCCCAGATCTAGACTAGATATATATATATATATATAGCTATGTCTTCACGCTTAAGTCCTGGTGGGTTTAATGTATGTCGTAACTGGTTCCACATTTACAGACCTTCAGCATCTCCCATCTTAGTGCCTAGCTGTAGTCTACCAGTGAGACCGTCATTGTAGTGTTAACCACACTGCTTTACACTAGCCGTAGTCTACAGGTGATCCCGTCATTGTAGTGTTAACCACACTGCTTTACACTATCCGTAGTCTACAGGTGATCCCATCGTTGTAGTGTTAACCACACTGCTTTACACTAGCTGTAGTATACAGGTGATCCTGTCGTTGTAGTGTTAACCACACTGCTTTACACTAGCCGTTAACTACACTGCTTTACCACCCTACACGCCCGGCGTCTTAGCCATTTCTCTTCTTCCTTCTTTGTGTCTTGTGTGTCTTAGTAAAGATGAGATGCGCTGTGTCTGACTGTTACCCAAGAATAAGAAACAAAAGGTGGAGGAATGACAGAGGACTTAGGACAAGTAAATGGTACACTTGGGCTCTACATAATGGTAGACACTGATGGGCTTCCTGGAGGCCAGCCTCATACTGTTATGTGATGGAGCATCCAGAGGGGTGATGATGGTGGATCGTTTGGTACAAGCATTTGTTAGATTTGAGAAGAGAAAATGAAACACTTATCAGATATGTTTTGTCAATATCCAACATGAAAATTGTCCTTTTATTGTAGAACAGAGCTATTCATTAAATCTCGAGATTAAATGTATTCAGTCTCAAAACATGCATGCTTAAGAAAATGTGAGGCAGAGCCTGGTGCAGTGGGCTAGTGACTAGAGCCTCCCCTTACATCTGTTGGGATGCCATAGGGGTGCCAGTTTGCATCCCATCTGCTCCACTTCCCATCCAGCTCCCTGCTTGTGGCCTGGGAAAGCAGTTGAGGTCAGCCTTAAGTGTTGGGACCCTGCACCTGCGTGGAAGATCCGAAAGAAGTTCCTGGCTCCTGGCTTTGGATTGGTTCAGCTCTGGCTGTTGTAGCCACTTGTGGAGTGAACCAGCAAGAAGATCTTTCTCTCTGTCCTCCTCTCCTTAAAAAAAATAAATCTTTAAAAGAAAAGTGAGGTAAATTTCTTATACCACTTTTTGACTGCTTGATTTGCATTATATACACATAGATTAGCTTTTAATTCCTTAAAATCTGTATTGAAGTATGTTGAAGAAAGATTTAACAGTTTACATCCTAGCAAAGTTGTATTTTTCATAGCTTATTCTAATTTACTTAGGCTATGATTTTTTTTTTTTATTTAACTTGTCCTGATTTTGTAGGCCTGTTACAGTTGCCAAAAGCTTCAGGATTTTTGAGATGCTGTACATTCACTTAGAATGAACTTACCCTGACCGTGTGAAAAATAATATTCTTTATGTGTGTTGGTAACTGTCTGTTACTCTCCAGATCTGAAGATTTTGCCCGACACCACCCTTTCTCTATTGTGAATGCAGAGGTTCTTAGGAAAGAATACATCAGTTGCAAAAGTTGAGGAATAGAGTAGGCCAGTGTCTGTTCTTAACATAAAAGATGTGATTCAGATTGTTGATATTTTCCTCCTAAGAATGATGGTCCAGGGGCTGGCACTGTGACATAGTGAGTTAAGCCACCACCTGCAGTACTGATATCCTCACCAGAGTGAGTCCCAGCTGCTCCACTTCTAATGTGCCCGGGAAACAACAGAAGACAGCTCAAGTGCTGGGACCCTTGGACCCATGCCGGAGACTCAGATGAAGTTTCTAGCTCCTGGCTTCAGTTTGTTGCAGCCCTGGCTATCACAGCCATTTGGGGAGTGAACCAAACAGATGGAACATCTTTTCCCTCTCTGTCACTCTCCTTTGAAATAAATAAACCTTTAAGAAAAATAATAATGATCCAGATTAACCACTTAACATGAAACTTTAAAGTGGGGGTAGAGGTCACTGAGTTGACAGAACCCATGTTGACGCCGCTGAACTTACTGGATTCGTTGTGGTTACTCTGCAAAAAAGCAGGGGGTGTCTTCTTGGCTTCCAGCTCACTGTCTTCTGTTGGGTTAGGTTCAGGGTAGAAATGAGCTTGGGTAATACACTGGGATACTGTTTGTCTAGAACAGAGTAGTTTGGCAGATCTCAAGGAAAAAATTATTTTATATGAGTTACTGTTTTAAATCTGAAAATCATTAAAACATTCATTTGTTCTTGTCATTGGAGAATAATCTTAAGGAGTTTGTTGAGGAATTTGGCATGGGAAGTTTCGCTTTGCTGCAAAATGAAGACTAGCTGATTGTACGAAAAGAATTTAGTTATATGAAACGTGATAAATATTCTTTGCTGTGCATTTTGTAAAGCCTCATTTCTACATTGTTCATGATAAGGGCAGGAGTTCAGCCAGCTTAGGATGCTTTTTGGGAAAGAATGCACATTTTTTTTTTTACAAACTGTGGAAGAAAGTGAATTGTTGCAGCATTACTCTTCCTACGCAGACGCAGGCTGCCAGCCGTTTCCCTAGTGTCTCCAGCCCGCTGGTGGGCCCTGGCTGCGCCGAGTTGACGGGTCTCTGCCTCCTCACTCAGAGCGCTCTCCGCTTCTCCATTCAGTGTTCAGTTTGTCAGGTTACCATTGATACTGCAGAAAGCATGTCAAAGAATAGTAATAATATGACAGCTACAATCTGCTAAGCACTTGGAAGTGCATCAGGCATAACTTTCTCACTTACGACCTCCGCCATCATCACACAAGAGCTAGATATTATTATCATCCCCGTTGTAGACACAGCTAGTAACACAGCTAGCGAATGGTAGGACTGAGCCACAAACCAGAGCAGTTCCATCTCTGTAGCCTGCACTGATGCTCTCTCGGGAAGTGTAGTTGCCCAAGTTGTTCTGCAGCTCTCTAGGAACTGTAGGCCAGAACTTTGTCAGTGAGGAACAGACTGAACTCGCTGCCTGACCTTGTCGTTTTCTAAATTCTGTCTGTGTTGACTTCACGTTACTCTGGTTGCAGTCATAATCCGTGTGTAGTGAATTCTGTAACATTCATCTTTGGTGAAGTTTGAGGAATGTAAGTGAAATGCTGTAGCCTTGTTAATCTTTGGGGTACCCTGGTAAGTTAAGAGTTGGTAAATAGATTCCTACTTCCCCCCAGAAATTTTTGGTAAAGAGGAGCCTCAAAACCATTTTGAGGTGGCAGTAGAAAAAACAAAGAATAATGCCCCTCTACGAGCTGCACGTTCTCTGCTTTCACATCTTACTTTGAGATGTGGTCAGGTTGGTATACTTGGGTTCAAGTGATTGCTTTCAGTTTAAAGTATTATTTCCTCGGGATAGTACACACATTTTAAATTCTTGTTGAATTCCTGAGAAGATGGCAAGAGTAGCTCACAGCGAGTTAGGGCAAGATTAGCTCTAATCAGTGTGCGCATTTCAGGAAGGTCCCTGATAGAGTGGTTAGTTGAAACGATGAACTAAAGGCAGCAGGGTGAACTGTGCTGCGGCCTTGCCACCTGAGCCCTCAAGCTCTGTTGCAGTCTCCGTCATTGTTGAAGTCCTTTTGGTCCCACCTACCAATGAACACAGATGCTGATCCAAGCTCTCTGGCTTGCAGTATAAGTTTTATTAACAGTAAAGGTTAGCAAGTTAAAAAGGAGTAGTAATAAGTAGTTTAAATTAGAATTCAGATATATTATTGTAACAAAATGGGAAAAATCTGACGGGGGTGGGAGTTTGGAGGGAAATCCCAGCCTGTACAAAAATACCACACAATTCAAAATTCAAAATAAAAATATTTTAAAAAAAGAATTCAGATATATTGGCACAGTGGGTATTTGGCACATGTCTAATGTCAATATTTTGTTGACTTCATAAATATATAAGATGCATTTCAGGAGACTGGTGTTCAGCATGTTGTATGAAGGTAATATTGAAAATTCACTTGTATATGTTTTTAGAAATTGAGCAGTTAAGTAATACATATATTTGTGTCCCTACTTTTTCATTTCAAAAGGCATATATCTTAATTGTGAGTCACTTTTTTTTTTTTTTTTGGAAAATTGGCCCCATGACATTGTCAAGAATTCAGATTTAATCATTATATGTCAAAGACACAAATTCATTTGAAATAACTTTTATTCAATGAAAAATGTGTTTTCTGTTGGCAAAACTAGAGATGTCTCTCTAATTTCCTGTCATTTTGTATAAATAAAATGAGTTACTTGGTTGATCTTAGAAATTATTTTTTCTTGGGAGTTAGAACAGTCTGAGTTTTTAAATAAGTTGCTAAGTATTTTAGACATGTATTCACTCTTGATTTAAAATAAAGCTAACATTTGTTTTACATGTGACAAATATGTACATTTTAGAAAATAAGTGTTGCCTGTATTCAGGCAATATAATTTTTTAAAATAGGATGAAAGCAATCTAGGGTATGGTTACAACCAGCATTCTGTGCCACATGGAAGGAATATGGAACTGTATTGAGAGAGTCCTTGTGTAGCATTGTAAAATTCATTTTGGAAACCATCTGTAGAAATAAATTGTGCAAAGTAATGTACGGGCAGCATTGACATGTTCAGGGATGGAACACAGCGGTGCCGTGCCGTTCCATCCGGGGGCCTGTCCTCAGTCGATAGGTTTGATCATCATCTGGACTGCCCTCATGGAGTAGGACCCGCCTCTGTACTCGGCCCAGAAGATTCCGTCCTGGTGCTTGCTCCGGTAGTGGCCCCCTCGGTACCATACTCCGTTGAGGTTAGAGTGTGCGCAGGCGTTGTACCACCAGCCTCCCTTGTGAAAGTGAGCACAGTTTCCTTGGAAGGAAAAAAAAAAATACACAGAGATGTCGCAGTAAAGGATTTCTCTAAGTATGCTACTCTGAGAAAAACATAAAAACTTCTCTTTGGAACTTTTTTTTTAAGCTTTGCTTTCTGACTTCAGTCACTGTTACCTCGTAGTTTTGCGTTTTTGTCTGTTCATTGCATCAACTGCTTCAAAGACCACTTGTCTTTTTCAAATTTTTGTGTGATAATGATTCATTTTCCGGGGGGCCACGTAAATAAACTGCAAGCAGTGGATATAAGAAAGACTCAGAAGGAAAGATCGGGAAGGACTGATGAGAGATTGTCAATGAAGAGAAAATTTTCAGGAAAAAAAAGAGTTCTGAAAATAAATAGCAAACCCTAGTATAAAATAAAACAGCAGACGCAGCAATTAGATGGGTTTCTGTAAGTAAGGCATAAATTATACAGTTTCTCCAACATTTACCAGTGTGAAATGGTTTAAAGTAGAAACCCATTTACTGCATGCCAAGATGTGACTTGGAAGAATAAATTGATTTTCAGGGAGCGTATCTCTTAAGCAGGGCAGAAATCTGTTTTTGAAAGGGCAAAGCAAGTTGCTGGCCTGTGGAAAAGTGGATCAAACTGCCACCAAGACACTGGCTTCCCGTTTTAGTGCTGGATGAAGCCCTGGCCGCTCTGCAGTCTTGATCCCTGCTAACACACCTGGGACTGAAGCAGTGTCGCCCACATCCTCCAGGCCCTGCACCCCGGGGAGGTCCTGACGCTGACCTGCCTCAGCCCCGTGGGTTGTGGCTATCTGGGGAGTGAGCCAGCAGATGTCTGACTCTGCCAAATACCTCTTTTAGCAAGGGGGAAAGGAGGAGCAATTAATTAATTAGAGGAATTAAAAATAAAAAGGAGTAGTGGTCTGATTGACTCTTCTTAAGAGCGACATGACTTTGCTCTGTGACACAGCAGTTTGGTCCCAGCGCTTTATGCCGTGTGTCCAGGTCTGCTGCCTCGCTGCCCTGCGGACCCTGCCTTACAGGGTTACCTTCTTGCGGTGACAGCTACAGCAGCACCCATCGCCGGCTCTGTTGCCCACGCTGTTGTGTCCAGGTTTTATTGTCCTCACTTGGGACCTGAGGGTCATTTTTTCTCCAGCTGCCAAGACCCTAGTGCCTGCAGCAGTGCCCTGATGTTAGTACTTTATAGGAATTCTAGGCAGTTGAGCTTTCTGTCAGATGGATATATTTCTGTTTTGGTTTTCGCCCTAGAACTTTGTCCTTCGCAGAGATTGCAGTTTGGATCTCTGCTGTAAGGTCATCTCAACAAGGTGCTGCTTTCAATGGGTTATATTCCCTTTGAGTCCAAAATGATCTGAGATGTTAGTATCTGCACTTTCATAGGTAGATTCTCTTTTGCATAGGAAGTGATGATTATTTGAGCAATTACTTAAAAAAAAGTTGTGATTATTCAAAGCATGAACGTTTCTTTTGACCCACCTGTGTATGTGTCCTTATCTCGGTCGAGCGTGGTGAACTGCTTGCCATTATGCCACATCAGAGAGTCGCCTGCGTTGCCCTGGTAAGTCCCCAGGCGCAGTCTGTAGTATTCACTTTCAGGTTCCAGACGAAAGCTGCTGTACTCTGCATAGACCTTTTTATCACTCCAGTCTTCCAGTTCAATTAACAGCTTATAATTATCTTGATTGCTAAGCTTATAGATATTTTCCAGTCCAAGCCAGTATTCTCCGTCAATGTTTCCAAACCCTTTCTGTTTAACAAAGACACAAATGCATCAATAAGGGGATAGTTAATGTTTTTATAGGTAAGTTATATGTACTTGATAGCTTAAAGATATTAGACATTTAATTGATCACACACTTTGTTTTGAGTTTGTCTTTATCAGATAAATATAAAAGCAAATAAGATAAATGCGGAAGAGGACAAAATTTGTTCTTGGCTACAATAAACATTAGTGACTACCCAGATTCTTAAAAACAGGTTCTTGATCTCCTTATTACTCCCCAAGTAGCCAGAAAAAATTTTTCTAAGAGTATGATAATATTATTTCTACTTTGCATACTCAAATAAAAAAAGAATATCTAACAATAATGAAATGAGAGCATGCGTTTTAGAGTAAATTCAGTAAGATCAGTAAATATAAGATAATCTTTATATTTTTTCAAAATAATGCTTATAGAAAATTGTAAATTAATGTCTGAAAAAAGTGATCAACTGCTACCATGTTTGAGTAAGCACTTGACATTGCGAGTGTGCAACAAAATAAATTTAGTAAACCTGATCTTAACACTCCAGGTGTGTCTTCAGGAAGGTAGTGTGAGAGAATTTTCCAGGTTCTCATGCTGTTGCTTGTTAGGAATCTGTACAACTTTTGACATGGATATATTAATTCTCACTTGTAGCTGCCAGTAAAATTTCACATAAGAGTGAGTGACCTTGTTTATAAAAAGTTTTGAAAGAATGAAATAACTAGAAAACATCTTTCCTGTTTGCCTTCCTTAAACAAGGTGTGTGTGTGTGTGTGTGTGTGTGTGTGTGTTACTTAAACATTATAAAAATCAAAGTAGTTAGCAAAGAGCAGTTGTCTACCTTTCCAAAATAGCTATCCCATAATTCTATTCCCATATGAAACTAGGTATAAATCATGTCCCAATAGCACCAGTGTCTCATATCACAAAACATGGTACCTTCATTATCGGAGTACCTTCATTATCGGAGTACCTTCATTATAGGGGTGATTCGTGTCTTTCAAAAGGGAGTTGTCTTTTGTTTGTTTATTTGTTTCTAAAGACTAGCAGTTCATTTACTTAAATATATTTGATAGAACATGTATGGTCATAAACAAAACGTCGTCTTAGAAAAAATAATTCTCAGTATCAAATTTTATGTGCGAGAGTTCTTCAAAAAGTTCATGGAAAATGGAATTATAAGATATTTTTCTGTTTTTGTTTTGATTTTAGCTTTATTTATTTGAAAGGCAGAGCAAGACAGAAAGATTTTTACTGCATCATTCCCCGAATAGCCACAACAGCCCGGACTGGGGCCAGACCGAAGCCAGGAGCCAGGAGCTTATCCACGTCTCCCACATGGAAGACAGGGTCCAAGTTCCTGTCCCCTGCCCGATGCTTCCCTGGGCATGTTGGTGGGAAGCTGAGTTAGAAGCAGAACAGCTGGCCCGTGAACCCACACTCCACTCACATCACAGGTGGCACTGCCACACCAGCACCAAGTTTATTTTGGTGCAAAAGACAAATTTTTAAAAATTCATATATAGTTTTTTTGTAGTACATGTTTTTATGAACTTTTTGGAAACCTTTTATATAAGTCATCCAGAAAGAAAGTGGATATTTAAAAATAGATGTTCAGTATCTTTACATTTTATTTTTCACCTTCAGACATCTTTGACAGGTGCAAATGGTGGAAAAGCCTGTGGCTACGTGCTTGTCACTGTCTGTTTAGCATGACCCTGTTGTAGATCTGCTTTGTTTGAGCTCCCCTAGGTCTGAGTCACTGGTTTACCTTATAATTTTCCCAATTCCTGAAAAAGTTGACAGAGCCATCCTTCCTTTTCTGAATCACAGTCCAGCCGCCAGGGTCCAGGCTGTTCTCACACCACAGCTGCATTGGTCCGTTGCTGTTTTCAGGTTTAATCAGGTAGATCCCACTGACAGAATGCCCAGCTGCTTTTGCTTGCTGACAGTCTTTGAAGGGTCCTGCAATTTACATCGTATTGATTACCAAGAAAGCTCATAGTTTTAACCACAATTCTTAACCTTTGTCTGTCTTTATGCAGCATTGTGGAAGTTAATGAAACTACATGAAAGTATGACTTTACTCCCATTACCCAGAATACACTGATGTGTTTTATCTTCCATTTTCCTTGTTTTTGTCCAGAAGCATACAGTTTATATCACTATAATCCTAAACCACATACAATTTGGATTCATCTTATTTCAACAAGCGTTTCCATACATCCTCAGTAACCATAATTAAGTAGCCTTTGACAGTGATATAAAGGTTTCATCTACAAAATGTCTTCATTCTGACTGGTCGATCATTTTCATATTTACATGTAGAAGTGCTGAGTCAGAGATCTAGCAACACCTTGAGTACTCAAGATATTAAATGTTTTATTGCTTTCTGTGCCATGGACACCAATGCTTCGTAGAAATTCTTAAATAGCTAGTAGAAAATTGTCAGCTTTATTTCTTGAGAGATCAGATGCTACTTTCTGGCTTACATATTAACAGAAGTAAATTGATTAGCGTAGGACTCGGGAATTTGTTCATGATATTTCAGAGTATAGCTTAAAAGTGCTTTTTAATTTTTTAAAAATTGTTGCTAATCTTTTTCTTGCATTGAATAATCATGAAATAGATCTATCATCTGTGGCACACACTTGGATTATTCTCAAAGCAGGACTAGAATTTTCTGTGCTGAATTGGGAAATACCAACCTGTCTCCACTAGTTCAAGTGTTTGTAGAGCTAACACCTTTGAATCCATCTAACTCATGGAAGAAGAGCAATGCTGTATTACTTCCCAGGATCTGTTTTTCAGTAAGAACCCATATTTTCCATATTCCATGTGCTTTAAAGATCTTCAAAATCTATAATTTGAATCCAGCTTTACCAGCAAGCAACCACCTGTCCTTTTTCTGTAACTCTTTAATTACTTAAATTATAAGCAGAATTCCCTGTGATAGAAAGAGAAACACAGCAAAAAAAAAAAATAGTAATTTTGGTTTCAAATAGCTGTTGAGTAAGTAGGCTCTTTAAAGGAGTATTTTTTAATGTGTTAAAATCTGAGATGTATTCAGCATTTCTCAAGTGGAAAATTGAAGTGATAATATAGTATTCTTATAGTAACTTAAGCTACTTACATTAATTTTGTGTGTTGAAGATGTGATTACCAACCTGAAGTTTGAAGGTTTTAGATGCTAATCTATCAGGTTTCTTGCATGGCCGATTGTTACAGCTGCATCCTTACTGCCTGTGTCTAATCTGTAGGGTTTCTGCTAGTGTGTGCATTCCACCTGAGACAGTTACTAACAGGAAGCATTACATAGAATTGCTGATACAAAATTTCCAGTGACGTGAATATATTCACCTGCCATTTTAAAGCGTGTTTTTAATTTCCAGTGATTACTTTTCAAGTTTAACTTTTTAGAGTCACCTTTTATGCCTCTGTGTATCTAACACAGCGAGGCGCATGAAGGGAAAGGCACCATGGAAACGTGCTGATTAGCAGTGATGAGCTTGTGCACAGCGTGTTCTGATGTGTCACTGCGTCCAGTCATCACAGAGAGGCGGCTGGGCCTCAGGAGAGCTTGCCAGGGCCCTTGCTGGGCTCAGATCCATCCTCTCACTTACCAGGAGGGGAATGGCTCGACTCCATTCACCCTCAGATGAACTTAGACAAAATGTTTGTTTTATAAAAGATCTAAAGTAATGGCTAGTGAATAACACTAATTGGATTTTTTTAAATTAATTACATTGTGTTATGTGACACAGTTTTATAGGTACTGGGATTTCCCCTACCCCTCCTCAAACCCTCCCCCCATGGTGGATTCCTCCACCTTGTTGCATTACCACAGTTCAAGTTCACATGAGATTCTTTCATTGCAAGCATATACCCAGCATAGAGTCCAGCATCTTATTGTCCAGATAAGTTCAACGGTTTCTTGGGGAGACCATTTCTGGTCTGAAGGTAGAGCCAGCAGAGTATCATCCCGATCAATTAAAAGCCCCAACATAACATCAGCAACAATTTATAACGTTGTGAAATTAACTAACATAGTATTGAGTAACCAATTTGTTAAAAAAAAAAAAATGCAAGTTCTTTACCACATCCTGTGACTACTTCATTGACATTTCAATTTTAGCTTATATACAACTGGGTTCTTGTTAATTACAACTGCTCAGATATTTATATTCCCTGAGTTTGTTTTATAATGTAAAAAAATATTTCTGGAAAATATTTTTGAGCTAAAAAGTTATTTTCTGTATTTTCATTTTTGAGGTGCATTGTTCCTATAAGCATTTTAAAAGAAAGTATAAAATTGCCACTCATTGTAAGCCCTTTTTTTAAATGTGTGATATGTGTGTGTGTGTGTGTGTGTGTGTGTGTGTGTGTGTAGTTAAATTGACCATGCTGCCCACTTACACTCTGATCAGTGGCAGTTAGTGCTTTCTCAGAGTTCAGCCGTTGCCCCCATCCACCTCCTTGCACACCTGACACTCCACCTTGCACACCTGACACTCCACCTCCTTGCACACCTGACACTCTGCTACCCCTGGACAGTTCTCTTTGACTGCGGATTGCAGGGGATATGTGTCACTGGTGACCAGCTGCACATCTGTTTGAGTTTCGCTGATTGCATGTATCGTGCTATACCAGATTCCAGCCTGTAGAGTTCAGTCCTTGGAATTCCTTGGTTCAGAAACCTATACATAAGGGCCCGGCGGTGTGGCCTAGCGGCTGGGGTCCTCGCCTTGGACCGGTTCTGGTTCCGGCTGCTCCACTTCCCAGCTAGCTCCCTGCTTGTGGCCTGGGAAGGCGGTTGAGGATGGCCCAAAGCTTTGGGACACTGCACCCGTGTGGGAGACCTGGAGGAGGTTCCTGGTTCCCAGCTTCGGATCGGTGCAGAACTGGCCATTGCGCTCGCTTGGGGAGTGAATCATTGGATGGAAGATCTTCCTCTCTGTCTCTCTTCCTCTCTGTATATCCAGCTTTCCAATAAAAAAATAAATAAATCTTTAAAAAAAAAAAAAAGAAAGAAACCTACATAAGATCAGAAGGCATATCTCTCGTGGCTTTCGTTGTAAAATGCCAAGATAGCTTTCCACATCTTTCCCAAAGAGATGAAAACTAATATAAGCAAATTATTTGGCACCTTAAAAAAACCAAGCCTGTTTATTATTGCTTGTAACACTTCATATTTGGTAAGAATCACCAGGTATTAATACTAGAAGGGATACCAGAATTAACCAATCTAATCAGCAGCTCTAACTGTAGAAATGAGAAGGCAGAGATAGGTTAAGTGATTTCTCATGGTCAATTGGCAAACATAGAGTGGATCCAACTTTTGTAAATTCTATGTCTTGTCTTTACATGTTCATCAGTGTATCATTCATGGACTAGTTCTTATGGCGTAGCTAATTATGCCTGAACTTGAATGAGCAACATTTATAGAATAAAATAAGTTAAAATCAGTGTTTACCTAATAATGATGAGTAAAAAAAGAAAAGTTCTCCCTCCTTGATTTGCAATGGCTTGTTGGGGTTATAAACAACATTGCTTCATTACAGCAAAGTGTGTCCAGGGGAACCTTGGACATACTGAACCCTAACATAGGATTTCATTCGGTAACAGTGTGGGTGAGTGTGTGTGTGTGTGTGTGTGTGTGTGTGCACACGTGCACGCTGAAGCACAGTATAGAACAGGAACATGTCTTTAGTGTGTCAGTGTATAAATACGATGTGAATAGTCATTGCTGCTGGAGTGGATGATTCCGTCCGAGTGAGAGTGAAGGCGCCATGGAACACTCCATAGCTGCCATCCTCATACTCCCAGGATTGTATCCCTCTTGAGCTTACCACCCCCCAAAACATCACACCTCACTTGTATTTATTTATAAATCATATATATATATAACCTAGGCTGATAGGCCCTTGTATATTACCTAGTACCTGTAGAACATTTTAAACAAATCTTGTGAAGATACACTCTTTTTCTTTCTATATTTACAGGATCATTTTCATACATAGCTTCTCTTTAGAAATCAAGGGGCTTGAGATGTTAGCATTGATCATTTACCTGATTTATTCACACTCTGACCTCTTAACTACTGTTAATTAACACAGGGTAAAATCAATAACCCAGTGAAATTTAATGTATTAAAGTATCATAAAGATCTTAATGACTGGCTCATGTACAGGGGCTGATGATATGGCTCAACTGGGCTAATCCTCCACCTATAGGCACCGGTGTGCTACATTGGCTCCGGTTTGTGTCCCAGCTGTTCCACTTCCCTTCCAGCTCCCTGTTTATAGCCTAGAAAAATAGTAGAGGATGGCCCAAAGCCTTGGGACCCTGCACCTCCACCTCTTTTAATAGAGAAAGAGACCAGTTGTCAGGCTGTGTGCATTTCTTATAGCTAACTTTTAAGCTCAGCCTTGTGGCATAGTGGGTAAAGTTGCCATGTGAAATGCTGACATCCCATAAAGGTGCCTAGAACACCATAAAGGTGTTCTAGCTGTCCACTTCTGATCCATCTTCCTGCTAATGGCCTGGGAAAAGGAGCATGGTATGACTCAAGTGCCTGGTCCTCTATCATCCCCCTCCCCTCCCCTCTCCCCTATCTCCTCTCCCTTCTCCCCCTTCCCTCCCTCTCACCCCTTCTCTCACTTCCTCTCCCCTTCTGCTCCTGATCCTTCCTTCCTCCACCCTCATTCCCGTTTTTTGTTTCTTCCCCTCTCTTCTTTTCCTCCCTCCCTTACCCTGCTTCTCTCTCCCCCCTCATCCCTGTCTCTCTAATAACTGACTTCCAGATAAATAAATACATGTTTTGGGACAAGCTGCCTTTTGAATGTTAGACACTGGTGAGTGCTCTTCAAGTGTTGGACTCTGTGAAGTAGTAGTTTTATTCCCATTGTAAAGATGAGGAGAACGAAGCCCAGAGAAGTCCACTTCGTCCCACACTGAGGTCTCCTGACAAGTGACCCAGGAAGTCTGTCTTGTCTGTCTGCCAGCTTCTGCCATGGGTTCTTTGAATTTCAGACTTCTGGCTCTGATTATAAACCAGGGGCATATGTGAGTGGCTGAAAAGAGACTTGGGTAGAATTCTGCTGACTGGATACAGACCAAGTGGCAAGTATCAAAGATGAGCTGAGCTAATTAAGAAATTGGTGATAACGTAAATCAAAATAGAGAAACCAGAACCATTCAATGCATCAATTTTACTAACAGAAGCTTGTTCTAGATATATAATCACAGAATAAGGAAAAGAACAAAGTTACTTTTAAAGAATTATAAGAATATGAACCAACTTTGTTTATAAGAGAAAAAAACATGTAGAGGTCATTATCAGGTTATGACTAGTGGGGATTCTGATGCTTGCTGAGAAAGGTAAGTGGTGTTTACGTGTTTTCTCCAGTGGAGTACTAATACAGGGACAGGACTGGTTGGCAGCTTAGTACGCGTTCATTCATTGGTCAGGGACCTGAAATGCCCTGGGCACAGGGTGCCACACCCAATCCTGGCTCGCTGCTGAGGCAGGATCCTGAACAGGTGGTTCACTGTCTTAGAGCAGCGTTCGCACTAGCAGGGCAACAGAGAGGTACAGAAATAACTTCAGTGTGATTTGGTGTAGAAAGCATTCTCAAGAAATAGTCACTAATTTGAGATTTATTAGTCATTGATTTAGGTATGGATGTTTAAGTCTGAAAAGGCATAGTGTTAACAGTAATATTTAAGCCTTGGAATCTGCTAAATCGTCAGATAAAGTGAAAATTGTCTTTCAACAGAGGAAGCCACAGCTCGTGAGATGATGGCCCAGGGTTTAGCTTTGGTTAGAATCCGGAGGGAGAGCTCCATTCAGGTGTCATTTGAACAGTGGGAAGATGTGGCGCCTTCAGCTTGTATGCAACCTCTAAACAGATGTTAAAGCTCTAGGGGCTGGCGCTGGGTGCAGCTTGTCAGCCTCCATCTACCGTGCCAGCAGCCCACGTGGGTGCTGATTTCAGTCCCAGCGGTGGCGCCTCTGATCCTACATCGCTGCTAATGGCCTGAGAAAGCAGCAGATGGTCTCCACACCCTCCTGGGACACCCCGATGGAGCTACGGGCTGCTGGCGCTGCTCTGGCCAGGCCCTGCTCGTTGCGACTGACCTGGTGCGTGACCTCACCCCACAACCCTGTCTCATTTCTGCAACTCTGACTTTCAAACAAATGAATTAAATCTTTAAAAACAATAAATCTTTGAGGCAGAAAAGCAGAACAATGCCAATGAAAGGCTTAAGGATGCAGGAAGATAGGCCAGTCTGGAAGATCAGGAAAGCAGAGACGCGAGTGGCCTGTGCGCCACCACCATAAAGGGAGCACAGCTGCCCTGTGACCGCTTGCTTTCCGGGCTTGGGTTTGTGCTTTGGGTGACATCTAAAATGATTTCCTAGTCTGTCTGCAGCTTTATGTTTTGCCTGGTCAGTGAATGAGTGAATTGGGATTTACTCATATTTTTATTTTGAAAAATGCACGTTTTCCCCTTTATGCTGGACGATTTGGGAGATTGTCTTAGGAGAAAATGGATACAAATATCAAACAATGGTACAATACTCATTCTGAAAATAAGCAGTGTGTCTACTAGCAATGAAACATACATGAATTACTCATCTTTGTTTTCTGAGTACCTACATCAATGACAGCGAAAGGAAGAAGGAGTGAAATTAAGGAATAGAGGAAGGAGGTCTTACAATAAAACCACTGATTTGGATACAAGGTGCAAACGTTTGTGTAGCCTTGAGCAGGAGGAGGGGTAGCTTTTCATGTAGAGACTTTAGGGCTAGGAGGTCATGGTTTTTGCACAGAGGTTATTTCCTTCAAGATAGGAAAGGACCAAGAACCCGGGACCTGGTCAGACTTACTCGTGGTTCAGTTGTAGATGAGTATCTGCTGAGAGGCAGAGAAGAGATATAATCACAGGCCTGAGGAAGTGAACGCAGAATGTTGGGGTTCCTGGTAAGAGCACCCAGAGGTAATGGAAAGGCTTGGGCACTGCAGGCAGGCCCTGGAGGGAAGGTGCTGGGTGCTGGGTGCTGGAGCGCAGGGCCCTGGCGGGGAAGAGGAGCCAAGGCTCATCTGCGAGAAAGCTGGATTGCAAGAATTCGCATGAAAGACTGCTCTTTCACAGAGTACACCAAGTTTGATCAATTCCTAGAGCCTTTGAGCTGGTAGAAGATACAGTTTTAGGCTCTATTCTTGATGATACTAATAAAAAATAGCAGTTATAATGCGTATCTATAATACCACCAAGGTGAATAAGTACCTATGAGCATTGATACATAAGCTAGAAGACACATTAGCCTCTTGGTTTTAACCGAGAAGTAACTGAACTCACCTTCATTGATGAATGTTACAGGTGGAATCTTGAAAGGACTTTTGGTAGGAGAACTTGCCAGGTCGGGTGGTGGCACTGAGTCCCTGGGATAGCCTGGGTCCCTCTGGATCTCGTTGCCCCCCAGCAGGCCTGGAGTGTACTGGTGACTGTTGGGAGTGTGTTGTGGCACCACCTGGACCAGAGGGGGCGACACACGGGTGTCTTGTCGGGAAAATAGTCTCAGGCACTGCTCCTCCAGCAGAGTGATGGTCACCGACTGGTTGTTGACGAGGTCCGTCAAGGACGCGTACTTCACCTCCAGCTCCCTGTACCTGCTTGCCATCTTCAGCATTTCCGTGGTGACATTGAGGACCTTGTTTTCCAGCTGGGAAAGTTCAAGCGAATTATCCCTCTTACGGATTATCTCATGGAGTAGTTGCATGTAGAGTTGGGTGACTCGAGAGTTCATGTTGCGGCTTTCTTTTCTCAGCAGCTTGACTTCATTGACGATGTTTCCGTCCACGTCCACCACCAGCTGCAGGACGTCTATCTCCCGCTTCTGCCTGGAGAGCACCTCCTTCAGGTTCTCCAGGTCCATCCTGGTGATCATGTCTTTAATGGTGCCTGCATCTTGCCCTTTAGTGTTGACACAGATAGGCCCGGTGATCTTTTGTTCAGGGACCAGGAATGTGTAGGAACATTTCTTTGTTTCCTCCTTACTGTCTGTGGCACGAGGGTGTCTCCTCGGGGTCAGTGTTTTCGTTTTGAACTGCCCTCCTCTACAGTGCCCAGTGTCCAGCAGCAGGAAGAACAGCACACCTGTGGTCCAGATAAAAGCCTTCATTTTGAAATGAAGTTGTACAGTGACGTCTTTGGGGAAACAAATCAGTGGAGGGGAGAAGTAAAAAGAATTCACATTAATCTATAAAGCCAGTAATAGAAATTTATAAAGGGCAAATGGAGTATTTATCAGTGTTAATGATTGGCAAGAAGTAGCTTTTTAATCTCTTAAGCTTGATACTGACATGTGTTTGAAGATTGGGGTTGAAGAGTTACCCTTCCGGCACACCTGCACTGCCCACCACGCCTGCTGGGCAGTGTGGTCAGTGCCCACTGTGTGCTGCAGCAGGCACACTGCTGGGTGCTGCTGGACCTGGGGGCTCTCCTGACCTTCCCAGAGTGCCACGTCCCTGCGATTGTGAATGGTGCACGTTGTTAGGCATTAATCTAAGTATTCCTGGCTTCACAAGTGTAGAAATTACCAGGTAACTTAGCATGTAGTTTCAATTATTGATAGGCCTTTTTTAACCTGTCAGATGTTTTAGATAGTTCTGGGACCAGATAGTTTTAGCATCATGTTTGCTTTTGTAGCCTGTCTTGGGGTTAGAGATGGATTGTTTCCTGAACCATAATCTGCTGTGTGCTGTAAATTTGTAGATTACTGAATAGGTTGATTCTGTTAGCAGCAGTTCTGCTGGTCAGTATTTTAGTAAAAATGTTATTTCTCACAAGCGTTACCAAGGAAAGGAGCTGTCTGAATGTCAGAACTGGAAGATGCCTTAGAGACTGTTTGGATACATGCGCGTGTTGGAGACTGGAGCCACAGCAGTGTCAGAACCAGTTCTTTAGAATGTCCTGTCACTACAGCAGTGACTCGTGCACAGAGGCGGGCCAGGACTATTTCACACTTGCTGTGGCCGGTAAGAAATGTTTTATAATACAGCTTCTTCTAAAGAAACGCTAGAGCTGGTTTCAAGAGCTAACACTTCTTTACTTCTTATTAGTTACCACAAAGCAGAATAAAATACATAAGATGTGTTTATTCCAGCATGTTAATTTGCAGCTTCTGTATTAGAACAAAGCCTCCCACACTTGTAAATGTGATTCCTAGCTGCTGTTCTTGGAGTTGGCAGTGAGTGTGTAAGAAAGCTTTCCTATCCTCTTAACAGGCCTGTTCCTTGATCTGAGAAGTCAGGCCAACTCCAGGTTGTTTTTTACTATCCACAGTAAAATAGTAGTAACAAGTTCATTCTTCCGTTTCCTATTGGGTGCTCCATGCATGTGTGGAGTCATTGACTTCTTAACACAACCCTGTAAAGTGACCTATTTTGATCCCTATTTGCAAATTAAATTAGCATCCAAAATCTGAAGTTCTCAATGAGTCATATCACTTGACAGAGGTGAAGAATTTGAATAAAGGCAGAAGACTGCCTAGTTGTTATTTTTAGTTTGCCTCACAGTAAGTACGAACAGACTGAAGTCTTTTCTGCGAGCAACTCTGCGACAGTACCTGGAGAAACTAAACACTCCAGCAGGATCCAAACTTGTGCTGCTGACTTTCCCACAACTAGATTTGTTCTCATCAGGTTGCTAGGACAGCAAACTAACTGTAGGATCCCTGGTTTGCATTGACTAATTGCATTGTCTAATTATGCCAATACATTTGTGGAACATTTTTGTAAGAATTTTTCTTCCTTATTTTTACATTCCGGACATTTCTGCTGTCATCTCTTTCCCCCATGTGTAGCCCATCAGTTGATATTTATGTCTGATGTGTGATTTGGGTCCCTTGCAAAAATAGAGTTGTGTCAATGAGATGCAGACTCTTCAGCTGCTTTCACTTTCTAAAATCTTATCTTCTTATTTTTTGGTGTTTTTATTTGAATTGTGCATAGATAATGAAATTAAACCACAGAATGAATGAGTGTGGGAGAATTGCTTTTCTTTAACTAACTTGATCGAGATGAGGCTTTGTGTAGCTGACTGCAAGCCCAAAGCATACCTGAACTAGTCCTCCTGGGTGTTTGTGACTTTGAACCTCAACCTTAGACATCAAGGAGAAAATTTAGACCTTAGGAGTCACCTAACATGTTTTATTTTAAGAAGACTTTTACCATACAAGAGTTGCCTATATAAAAAAACAATGTATGTTATAGTTTCAGGTTCATGGAATTTAGATACAGCTTGTTAAAAATAAACTGGGAAAAATAAAATCCATCAGCCTCCATGGTTAATGTTTATCATTTCTCATACATTTGTAACATAAGTGGTACCAAATTTAAGTGACACTAAAATTTAATAATAGAATGGAAATTGTTAGATCATAAAATTAGGTTACTTAACTAATTTCTGCCATGAAGTGAATTACCAAAACAAGGAGAAGACAGGATGTGTCATGAAACTTCAAGTTGTATTACCCAAGATTTTCACATCAGAGTTGTCAATTAAGAGCTCCCATGCCTCCACCCGCCCCCCAAAGTTGGAATGTCTCTGTATGTGTTCTGCTCTGGGTCATTGTGGTTCCCACAGGTTCCTGTATGGTGAAGTCATAGAATTTAAGTTAGCATGCGAATGGGGCAACTCAAAGTTTGCTTTTTAAAAAGAAATACAGTTCCTTTATCCTTGTTAAAGTAATGACTTAGGCGTCCCTTAAAAAGCAGAGCAAGGAGGCACATTCGTTAAATGGTAGACTAACTACGTCATGGGTAAAGGACTGGTTTTAAAAATACATTTACTGTTCCCTTTTCTAAAAACGTTCTCTTTAATATTTTCCCACATATGTTCAAGTTTTAAAAGCGAAAGATCCATAAATCTATGTTACCTCATAAACCTTCCTGTATACTAAAATTTTCCTGCATCCCAGGAGAATGTTGTAAATTTGTTCTGGTTACTTAAAATCTGTGTCTTGACTTGGTTGTTTTGATTGAAGGGAAAAAAGGTTTATGTATTTGATTAACTTTGTTAATGGTATTTCTCTTCATAATTGCTACGTCGCCACCAATTAGAACTAGAAGTTTGGATTTAGTTTCTCTCAGAGGGTGAATTCATTGAGGGGCTTGTAACTGGTTGTGCCGTGCACTGAATGCAGCATGAGACAGTGAAGTTCAACGTGTGACCTTGAGAATTAAAGCTAACAATTTCTGGATTGTGAAATAGGTTCCGGCAAGACTTGAGAATAATCTCATCCTTAGATTTTTTTTTTTTTGAGAGGGATAAGTAGTCTCGTGTGTGTGTGTGTGTGTGTGTGTGTGTGTGTGTGTGTGTGTGTGATGTAGATTTCAGAGTGAAAGCTTGTGGGCGGCTTTAGTGGGAACTGAACCCATCCGAGGTCCTGCACGAGCAGCAACAAAAGGAGGTGGCAGAGCCAACGCTGCATGGAAATTTTGTCAAGAATTCTTACAAAATATGTGTTTAATTGAAAGCATTCTATATTTAGAGTTTTGAACCTTGAAGCTTTGGACATGAAAATGAAGACAGTATCTTAGTTTGCCATGACAGGCTTGTTGAATGTTACGATTGAAATGTCAAAAGCCAGAGGGCTGGCTGCAAAGTATCCTTGCTGTTAAAAGCATACCGTAGGTAACTAGTAATCATGATTGAAATAATACAGCTACAATGGCCCTAAATAGAACATTAAAGGAAGCTTTAGCTGTGTCTGCCAAAATGATTTGTCTAAAATATTACATATTTTTGACATTTTAATCTTCTGTTACAGTCGGGTATGTTTTGTGTTCATATTTTCTATTGTTACTGCTGATTCCTTACATAGTCTTAATCTGAAAGAGGTTTAGTGTATTTGTATCAGTAACTTTAAGTTATAAGTTTGTTTCAAGTCTTAGAAATTATAACTTCTGTTACCTGTAAACCCAGAAGACCTCAACATTTTGAGTTGGAACAAGAAATACCACAGACTTACCTCGTCTTTACAAAGGTTTCTGCTTAAGATTTGATTATTCTAGAATTGGGTTTCCATGGCAGAGCCTTTCGTTGTTTTTGTATCTGCTTAGTTTTGCTTAGTGACTGTGCTGGAGAAACAGAAGTTTGCGTCTAGCTTTGCTACATAACGCCATTTCGGTGGAAAGTAACCCAACCGTGTTCACCATACTCTTACTGTGTATACCCGTTTTTGGTCACTGTGCTGTGAACTTTATGCATTTAGTCTGTTGTTTGTTAAGGTTCCTTTCTTGTGTCACTAAAGCATTTGTTTTCCAAAACACAACATGTGTGAGTTACTAGAATAGTACATATCGTCAAGTTCAGCTCCAAGTCCTGCATTAACCAGCATAAAGTACTTAATGACCAGTTGCATGAAGTTGTAAAACAAAAGCTTTTTCAGATGAGCTAAGTTACAGCATATTCTCAAGTTCTGTAATAACTGATTTTAAAATTACAAATACAAAATACACACTTTGATAAAGTACTTTCAAGCAAAGTAAAAGAAATTTTAAAGTACCTTTTTGTGTCTGTTGATGAGACAAATCCAGAAACTTGATGCTCTTATTCTCGGTTTTTTAAAAAACTGAGTTTAGAGGTTTGTTCATCTGTGACTTTAATGGCAGCTGCATTTTTTTGTTTTGTTTTGGACCGTTGAATCCAAGCTTTAATGAGGGCGTCTTTTTTCTTTTTACAGTACTAATCAATTGAGTTTGACAAGCCACCTATGTAATTTTAAGTCGGCTGGTGGAAGTTCTGGTCTGTGGTGTGCCTTTAATCCAGCGGAGCGAGCGCTGTGGCTTTGCTCTGTCTGCCACATGGAGAAGTGCGGTAACCAGCTGCAGCTGTCACCGACTCTGTATACAGTACCCTTCAAGAGTGATTCCCTCTCTCTCGGTGGCCTCAAGTTCAGCCCACATATTACGTCACCCCCAAAATTGCTGGAGACTCGGGGGTGGAACTCTCCTCCTTAGGATTTCCTCCGTGCAACCTTCAGTAGGGCGGGGTGGGGGGCGGTCGGATCAGCAGGAGGGCGAACGGCTCCGAACAAGGAGAGATTGTGTGCAGGTTGAAGGAAGGGCACCATCTGGAAACCAACTACCCCAGTTCAGCAGGCAATTGGAAAACAAACATTTTAGTGGGCTGGCCAGAGATCTTGTAGGTTGAAAACTGAGAAAGTAGTACTGAACCTCACATAGTAGCGGCACCTGCAGGTGGATGTGTTTAGTTTTTGCTGTAGGGGTGAGAGCTTGACTTTGTCAGGAGACGGGCCACCTAAAATAAGAAAGCATTTTCTGTAGCTAGTCACTTGTTTCAAGTATGTTACTGCCTAACTTGCTATTTTTTAAGGTTTTAAGCTTGTAAGAAACTTGATTATGTAACATTTCTTAAGATGAATGTATAATATATAATTTCTCAAGATTATATATAATTACCAAGAATAAGTGAAATTCTTTCAAAGGCCTGATGCTTTTTAATATTAAACTCTGGTATTATGTAATGTCACATCCTGTACTCTACGGAATGACCCCTCTTATCTAAGCAAGATCATTCTTACTGTTAATTGCTGTGCTGTCATTTTAAATCAAATATAATCATAGACTGAAGAAGAGGAGAGTTCTGGCTCCCCAGATTGGGAATGAAACAAATCACTGTATGCACTTCTGGGCCTGTTGCTCCTGCAGTGAAACCTGGCAGTAGAGGCAGTAGTGAGTGTTGGTAACGAGACAGTACAGTGCATTCCAAAGCACCGTGTAGATTCAGAAAGAGGACTCGGATCCTTCTTCCTCAGAGATGGGAAGAGGTAGGAAAGACCTAAGATGTAGGCTCATTTGGAAAGAAGAAAAAAAGTTGACAGATTATAAAGTCAAGAATTACCAAGTGGATAATATAGATAATGTATAATAGAATGTAATTGTTAAGAACACAACACAATGTTGTGTACAGCTAAAACCTATGAGACTGAACTCTTTTCACACAGTTTCCGTGGCCTTCCTTATATCCTTTTGCGGCTTTAGGTTTGTTCTGTAAATAAAAGGCAGTTTGACTAGGCATTTTCTAAATTCTTTTCTTGGAATTGTGAGAAAACTAGAACATAGTGGACATGAAAGTGGCTATATAAGCTGGAAGATTGGATTGGATAATTCTAGAAGATGTTCAAAACAGAAAGAAATAGCAAAAGTAAAACACCATGTTGATTTAGAAGGCGACAGGTGAATCGCTTTGGTTACGTTTGCCCTGAGAGTCTGTAAGTGTGAAGTAGTAAGAGCAGGCATAGATGTATGTTTTTTCCAGCTACAGTTGTCTTACACATTTTATACGTGTAGAGTAAAGCTCTTCAGAAAGTATTTTTAAATGAGTGATTTTTCACAGTTGAGACCATTTTAGGCAGATAATTTGGGGGGATGTATTGCTTTCATTGGTACAGACAACGTGGATAGGAAAGCAGGAAAGGCTTAGCCGCTCCAGCAGTCCGGTGTTGGTCTGTCAATCTGACATTGTACCAGATTGAGACTGTTTTCTGCTGGTTAAGACAAAAAAAGATGGGTCTCAGCTCAAGACAAGTGATAATGCAGTAATATCAAATAATTTACACATACAGTACGGTGACTAAGCTGATAAAAGTTTAACTTCTTCAGGTTATAACATGTTAAAAAGACGATACTCATTGGAGTTACAAAAACTAATGTTCAAATTTGAAGAACCGTCTTTGTTACAATCAAGTCACAGGCAGAGCTCAGCTTCTTTGCATTAAGTCCCATATGTGCTCAAGTTTATTTGTTAAGACTATTTTGTTTTTTATGTTATGTTAAAGTCAGATCTACAGAGAGAAGGAGTTAAAGAGAAAAAATCTTCCATCTGCTGGTTCACTCCCTTAGTGGCCACGATGGCCAGAGATAGGTTGATCCAGAACCAGGAGCCTTTCCAAGGTCTCCCACGCAGGTGCAGGGTCCCCATGGTTTGGGCCGTCCTCCACTGCTTCCCAGGCCACAAGCAGGGAGCTTGGAAAGCGGGGATGCCGGGACACGAACCGGAGCCCATGCAGGATTCTGGTGAATGCAAGGCCAGGATTCAGCCACAAGGCCATCATGCCTGGGTTCTGTGCTCAGGCTCCTGAACTTAGCCTCAAACCGTGTTGGAAAACGGTGGAAGACATCTACGTAGAGTGTGTTATTTGCTGTCTGGCCCTGATGCTTTGGAAATCTAGGACCCGGGTTGTCAAGTTTTAGCAAAACCTCAACTTATTACTAACATGCCCTGAATGTGGTGTATATTGCAGTTTTTCTGTCAATTAACGCTTTCCCCCTTCAGTGTGCCACAGTCTTCCAAACTGCAAGTAAGAAAAACACTATTTATCCATTTCTGCTTCAGGGATCTATTTATCAGATTTAACATACATCGATTCAGCATACCCATCCACTGGCAGCATTCTAGAAAATGAGCAAAGATCAAATTTAATGAATAACATTCTTCGGATAATTTCTGACTTACAACAGTCCTGTGAGTACGGTGAGTGTCTGGGGGACGGTGCATCTGAAATTTACATTAGCACTTAATGTTACACTGCATGGTTGTTCAGCCCTTCAGACTTTACTAAATTCTTTCCTATTATCTTCATCTTTTTGTAGTGCCCCAATCTATCACTTAACAGTTCTTATTTTTCAGGTGAAAAAGTAAGTGAGGCCATTTATCATGGTGACATTAGTCTTGTTTTTTTTTTTTTTTTAAGAGTTTTGGTTGTTTTTTTAAGTTTATTTTGTTTGAAAGGCAGAGGGAGAGAGAGAGAGAGATCTCCCATATGCTGGCTCACTCCCCTCATGACCGCTGTTGCTAGGGCCGACCCAGGCTGAAGCCGGGAGTGTCACTTGGGTATAGGTGGTCGCTTGGTGACTCTGCTGCTGCCTCCCCAAGAGCTTGAGTCAGAGCTGGCTGGGAAGTGGGGCATCACGGACTCCAACTGGCACTCAAATATGGGGTGCAGACTGGTGCCACAGTGCCTACCCTTTACTAAGTTTCTTTATTCAGTGCATTCTGTGGATTGACATGTTTAAAAAGAGGTAAACTGATTAACGGAGGACAATTTCTGACTGGGTGCTCTATGCTGACAGTGAAGCAGGGCAGCTAATATGTAAGTTTCGGCTTATTCAAAAATAGTGACTATACGATTTATTTTTGATACTGTCTTAAAAAGCTAACTTTTTTTTATATGCATCTGTATTTACTTCAGGACTTGAAATGTTCCTAAGCGTGCATGTGTTGTTAGAATTTTAACTCTTAATTCTGTTCTTGTCATAAACCGAGTCAGAGTTGAAATTTTAAATTAATCTTGTTTGAAATCTATTAAGGATCTAGTAGAGGAACCAGATTTATAAACTACTGTTCTTTAAGAGAAAATAAAAATTTCACATCTTATGAATTTGGAATATAAATCATAATGAAGTCCCAAATTTTTCCTTTGAAATTTCTCAAATAGAAGAAGTCTGTATTTGAGGTTGTGTTTTCTTTTTAACTCTACGCAAGCAGCATGTAGCTGTGATTTCTAAACAGCCTTGAGGGTCAGGTTAAAGTATGCTTCAGTAATGCCTTTGTGGAATTACTTTAAATTTTGATGCCGAGTGGCCTTGAAGTTCTGATTAAAATCTACTTTATTGGGTAACTGTGGATCTCCTTTTCCTAGACATTCCCTTGTTGCCTCATGTTCAGAAATATCTGAACTCTGTTCAGTATATAGAAGAACTGCAGAAGTTTGTGGAAGACGATAATTACAAGTAGGTTGGATGCTCAGAAGTGTTTTGTATAACTTTGTCTTGTCTCCTGTGTAAACACATTCAACGATATTTCACACACATCCGTTGTCATGTTAGCAATGATAAAAGTACAAAGTTTTGTTTAAAATCCTGCGATACAGTTTAGTCAATACACCAGTATCTGTTCTCTGGTTATTTTAAATTTCAGAGAGCTAATGGTTGATAATTCTTACTTGAACTATGTACAGTCATTGGATTTTTATGGAAATCCATTCTCCAGTGAATTTCTTAATGATAATTTTTGACACATCTTTGAGCTTATTTTCAGTTGTTATTGTGGCTTGGTAGAAAGAGACATGTTTCTCCGGGTAGCGCTATATTATTTTGTCTGTGTCATAATAAGCCCTTTGCTAAGGTTTTATAAAAATCACTTTTAACATAGTTGACAGTCATACCTTCCTCTTCCCGGTCATAGTGATGCTCAAGGAGAAGGGGATTTTACGCACTAACTTTTATTTTGATGGTCTGTTTCGTATCATAATTGCTAGACGTTTGTTTTAGCCAGAGAGCTATAATTTAAAAAAAAATCTTATTCAAGGGCTTGTATCTCTTGAACCTTTTCATTTTTTACTTTTAGCTTAATTGTTAATATTTTTTAAAAATTACTTAGCTTGATTGTGTCAGTTTTCCCCAAGTTTTCAAACTGGATTGATTTCCACAAACATTTTTCCAGTTACAGATAAGCAACTTCTTTTTTATTGGCGAATAGTGCATATAATATAAATTACCACCGAGCCTGTTCGTCAGGACACTCTTCCGAAGCTAGCACTGGCCATGCTTTGGCGACGCCCCTGAGCAGCGCCCACGCTGTGCCCTCCAGTGCTCTGCCCTGGAAGATTCTGCTGCTACCATCCCAGTGTGGTCTGTTCTGGTTGAGCGCTGTGTTAGGAAGCTGTAGTTACTTGGTTTACCCTTTTGTTCTTCATCCACCTGACTGTAAGCTTCACAAGGGCACAGATACCTTGCTCGCCTTAGCCCGCAGTTCAAATGGGTGTTCAAAGAAGATTTGTTGAAGTGAATGCCGTGTTATGTGTGACCTAAATGAGTGAACTCCACTATAAAAGGAACAGAGTGTTCTGGCTAGTCACACATCTATTCAGCACACACGCTTTACATTTTCAGATCATTGAAGTTCTAAGCAAATATGTAATTCCCTCCTAAGTTATTAGAATAATCTATATTTGTTTATAATTATGAATGTCACATGCCTTTTACTGGTTCATTAAAAATTCTAGTAGTTAGAGTGCTCAGTAATCTTTATTGATTTTCAGATAATGTCAGTAGTTCATACATTAGACCAAACTATTTTCCACAGCTCCTGCATCCTGAAATTGCTTCCACTTGTAGGAGTCCTAATCTCTTTGGCTGTCGTACTCAAGCCTAAATACGTTATTCTAAACAGAAGTTCAGTTGCAACTAAGAACCTTTCACCCATGACAGGTGTTGGCTAGCTTTCAGACAACCCTTTTTACTTGTATGTATCTTTCTTTTGATGAGCTGTGTGAGTTGGTTTGTCAAGTGGCTAGTTTTAAATAAAGTGTTTTGAAAATTTTAGTGTTAACAATCAGAGCAGTAGTTCATCTGATGGAGTTTAGAGAAACAATTTGTGTAATATTTAACATAACGTATTTAACAATCTATGTTAACATTCCTGAACAGACGCATGGTAGATCATCTTGTAGTCAGTCATCAAGCACCGTTAGGGTGTAGCTGGGATGATTTTGTGTTTTTTAAATACTACTACTTAATGTTTCTTCTCTTCTTAATATTTCCTGCAATAAATATAACATCAGCTTTATAAAGGAGACATAACATCTTAAAAAACACTGTGGAAAAAAAATATAAATTAGGTTATTTCACAGAAATGCTTTTAGTTTTTTAATGACAAAAATACATAACTAACACTTTTGTTAAGTGTTAATTATTTTATGTGTTTTGTCTTTATAAAATTCAGGCTTTCATTAAAGATAGAACCAGGAACAAGCACTCCGCGGTCTGCCGCCTCCAGGGAGGATCTAGTAGGTTAGTGGCTGGTTTCTCTCATTATCACATAACTCAGGTTGCCTAATAAAAAAAGAATAAACTCCAAGGTGAGTAAGTACTTAGCGCATCTTGTATTCTGGGCAAAATTTACTTTTGGTATTAAGCTCTTTCATTCCTTTCTGGGCTTGTTTTTCATTGGAAGCTCGGCTTGTGACAATTGTCAGTAACACAAAAATGATGCTACCTAATCAGGAAGAATAGATGTGACCGAGTAGCGGACATTTTGTGCACCTCCTGTTCAGCCCTTAAGAATGTGTGGCCCTACGCAGCGAGTGGATGCCACCATACTTTTCTGCCATCTCAACGGAAAATTATAGTCCTCTGAGCAGTTTCAACAAGTGAATTTTAATAACTTCTTTTTCTGATGTTTACTTTAATCCTGGACCAAGCACCACAAATATCAGAATCAGTCTTCCTGGCTTACCTGTTGCAGTGTTGGGATCTGTGTACTTACCACAGCTAATAAAAATATAAAGTGGAGCATAATTACTATTATTGAAGAAATAATAGCTAAGCTTCATATTGTATCTTCTAAAAATATTTGAAAACTTGTCTAGTAAAATGTGAAATAATGTACCTTAACAACAGTAGGGAACCCGGTGCGGTGGCCTAGCAGTTTAAGTCCTCACCTTGGATGTGCCAGGATCCCATATGGGCGCTGCTTCTAATCCCAGCAGCCCCGCTTCCCATCCAGCTCCCTGCCTGTGGCCTGGGAAAGCAGTAGAGGACGGCCCAAAAGCTTTGGGACCCTGCACCCGCGTGGGAGACCTGGAAGAGGCTCCTGGCTTCGGATCGGCATAGTATCGGCCGTTGCGCTCACTTGGGGATTGAATCATCGGATGGAAGATCTTCCTCTCTGTCTCTCCTCCTCTCTGTATATCTGCCTTTCCAATAAAAACATAATAAAAATAAATCTTTATAAAAAAATGTCTACTTATTTTATTTCATATTTATTTCATATGGGATCCCGGGCGTGCTAGGTGAGGACCTTAACCACTTGCGCCACCGCGCCGGGCCCAAAATAAGTAGACTTTTTAAACATCTTAAATGTGCTGTTATTTTTCATTTTATTTATATGTTTGTTTATATTATTATACAGTTCCATAGCTTCTGGGCTTTCCCCCTCAATCTCTTCCTCAAGTCCCCTCTCTCTGCTGATTTCCCACATATTACAGCTGTATAGTTCTTCGAAAACAGTCTTATTTCTCATTCTTTGAGCAGACATTGTGGCACAGTGGGTTAAACCACAACATGGACATCTGCGTCCCATAGTAAAGATTTTGAGTCCTGACTCCTCTGATTCTGATCTGCTGTCCTACTATGAACGTTGGAGGCAGCAGATGATAATCCAAGTCCTGAGTCGTTGGCCCCTGTATAGGAGATCCACTCTGGGTTCCAGGCTCCTGGCTGCCCGCCAGCTCAGCCTTGTGTATTGCAAGCATTTGGGCAGTGACCCAGAAGATGGACAATCTTTTCTTTTTAAGATTTATTTATTTTTATTACAAGAACAGATGTACAGAGGAGAGACAGGAAGATCTTCCATCCAACGATTCACTCCCCAAGTGACTGCAACGGACAGTGCTGCACCAATCCGAAGCCAGGAACTTCTTCCAGGTCTCCCACACGGGTGCAGGGTCCCAAGGCTTTGGGCCATCCGTAACTGCTTTCCCAGGCCACAAGCAGGGAGCTGGATGGGAAGTGGAGCTGCTGGGATTAGAAGCGGCGCCCATATGGGATCCTGGCGCATTCAAGGCGAGGACTTTAGGTGCTAGGCCATGCCGCAGGGCCCAACACAGACAATCTTAATCTTTCCTTTTCTTTTCCTGTCTTTCTGAAAACTAAAAGCAAATTAAAAACATCTTTAAAAAGCAATATTTTATGTATGTCAGTGTTTTTAAATTATATCCGTAAGTCTAAACTGTGTCAATGTACACACATCCCTTGGAAATGGAGTGCTTGAGCAACATCTAAGCGGAAGCTGATACTGTGAGTCAGAGGCACTGTGTCAACAGCACTGGCCCTAAGGCCCAGAATGCTTCATGCGGATGCCTGGAATGGGAGGGCCTGAAGTGTTTGCTCTCTCTTTTTCTACGTTGATGTATTTGAAAGGCAGAGTTAAAGAAGGGGAGAGATAGGCAGTTGGCTGCAGCAGCCAAGATGCTTCTTGCCGGTCCTCCTCATGGGTGCCCCTTGGGCCCTCTTCCACTGCTTCGCCCAGGCTGTTAGAAGGAGCTGGGTAGAAGTGGAGCAACAGGAATACGAACCAGCGCCTAAGCGGGATGCAGTGTTACAGGCGGGAGCTTGAGCCACAGCACCCGCATGCTGTCTCCCCTCCCTCTCAGGGCTCATCTCTTAGTTCTGCTGCTTCGTTTGTTAGCAAGGAAAACATTTCTACTGCCTCTGCTTAGTGCAAGAAAGATAAAATAATGGATTTGTATTGTTTGGTAAATTTTGTTTTTAAGACTTGGAAGAAAATATTTCTCATCCTCCAGAGCATTCATTGCATAAAGCTAACATTAATGTTAAGTTCAAGCCATTTGTGTAATATGAAAGGATTAAAGAAATCGTTTGAAGCTGTTTCTCTTGAAAATGTCTTTCTCTTCTCCTCCAGTGGCAAAGTGCGCCCCAACATAGCTCTTGTTCCCCCCCAGGTCCTGACGTGGGAGCGTCACCGCAGAGCGGCAGGAAGAGCATCGCAGCCGAGGCAGCCCTGCTCCCACAGACGCCCCCGTCCCCGCGGAATCTGATTGCGCACGGACACAGGAAGTGCCACAGCTTGGGCTATAAGTCAGCATTTTGATTTTACCTTTCATGGTTTTAAGTTGTCTGTGGTTGGTTTTATTGCCTGTCTTCATTATGACAAGAACTGCAGTTCAGTAAAACACGTTTTGCTTATGTGGAAACGTTTGTTCCTTCCTTCCTCCTGAATTGAGAAATGAGCTTTTCCCAATAGCGCCTTCACTCCTAAGGGAGATCAATTAACCATTTTCTTGTAAGTAACTATAAAACAAAGGGAATGAATTTTTTTATTCAACTATGTAAGTTTTGCAGCCTTCATTTCTCAAAAGGTTCTCCCATTCACCTTTACCTTATAATTTCAAAAAAAATTATTTTTGAGAAAAATTTTATTAACTACCAAGATTGATTGTAAAAGCAGATTTTGAAGGGACCTGATTCTCGAGATGAAAATGAAATGTATTCTGGATGTGTAGATAGATACAGCCAAGTTTCTGTAAGTTTCCCTCAACTATAATTTTGAGACTGTCATGGTAAAATGTGTGAGTAAGAGTTTTCAAGTTAGTTCAGGGAAACGGGTGGATCTTCTAAATTCTGAATCTTTTATTTATAGGTATCTTTTCCGTCCTGCATTATAGCAGTATAAAACTTGTTGAAAAATCTCTTTGTTTGCAGTTTCATTCATAAGATGAACACCGCAGAATTTAAGAGTGCAACATTCCCAAATGCAGGGCCGAGACATCTGCTGGACGACAGCGTCATGGAGCCCCACGCGCCGTCCCGAGGGCAGGCGGAAAGCTCCACTCTGTCCAGCGGAATATCCATCGGTGAGACTAGTTTCCTCAGATGGTTCCAATTTAGACAAAATGGGACTGTAAGTAAAATTTAGTGGCGGAAAACCAAAATGACAGCTACAGGATGAAGTTAATATGGTCTTAAGGAGTTTGATGCGTTTGACAAAAACAAAAGGGTTGTTGGAAATAGAACGTGAGCTGTTTAAATTGGTCAATTCTGCGGTTAGTTTATTTGATTGGATGTGGAAATGGGCAAAGTTTGGACTGAAATGGGACTCTGGTTTATTTGGACTAAGCAGTTACTTAGATGGTGGTGCTGTGGCCAGGACAGGGAAGGCTGAGTGATGTTGTGTGGGCAGGAAGGTGTTCCTGCGTGGTGGCTGCGTTGGTAACATCAGTAATTCTCTTGTAGACAGATTTAGTCTCCATAAAGATATCAGATACTTGTTGAATTGATGAATGTGTAACTGAGTGGGGCAAGGTCTCTGAAGTTATTAGGAGTTAACATATTCCATTTCATGGACTTCCCGAGGTGCCCCAGGGAGAGTGTAAAAAAAAATAGCTAAGGGAGAGACTTCATCACATGGAGAGGTCTGATTGGGTTTTTCTCATTTCTGTTAAAGCGCATGCAACAGCTTGGGTCAGAGTCCTGAAGTCAGTCCCAGTATCCTGTGTTGATGATCCAGAGCAGGATTTATTTATTTTTATTGGAAAGGCAGATTTACAGACAGAAAGATCTTCCATCCTCTGATTCACTCCCAGGTAGGCACAGCAAATCCGAAGCTAGGATCATCTTCAGGTCTCCCATGCAGGTGCAGGGTCTCGAGGCTTTAGGCTGTCCTTAACTGCTTTCCCAGCTGTAAGTAGGGAGCTGGATGAGAAGTGGAGCAGTTGGGACACAAACCGGTGCCCATATGAGATGCCAGGGCATGCAAGGCGAAAATTTAGCCACTAGGCTATTGTGCGGGGCCCTGACTAATTAGTTCTCAGAGAATAATGTGCCATCATATCAGATTATGAAGGGAAGGGGGCCAGTAAAACAGGGAGACAGTCAGTGTGGCATGGCTCTGCAGACAGAGGCTTCAGGAAGAAAGCAGCACCCCTTGTAGCGATGTCCGATGTGGAAAGGAGAGTAACGACAGAATAGGGAGCTGACCAAGGCCCTTGGCAAGGCCTATGCCGGTCATCTTGGCCAAGACTTGCTTCACAAGTGGTGAAGGTAAAACCCATCGTGGGGTGGATTTGAGAGTGGGAAGGAGCTGACAGATAAAACCAGGGGATCATTTTTACTTTTATGTTAGCTTTTTTCTACTGTTACCAAATACCTGGGACAGGTTACTTTGTAAAGGAAAGGGGTGTGCTTGACTCACATGTTGGGTATGTGGAAGTGCAGACAGCACAGCACAGGCTCTGGCCACGGCCCCCCCCCCCCAGTGCATCACCCCATGATCCTCTGTCCCCTCCGAGTGCATCACCCCATGATCCTCTGTCCGATGTCTGTCCTCTTTATCTCAAGCTGGCTCCCACTCCTGGTCACTTCCCAGAGAAGCAACCTCTGAGGGCTCCTAGTGGGACTAACCTTCTACCCTTGTGATACAGTTAACAGCAGACACTGAGGATTGCACCTCAGGAATTTGGGGGCTAGAGACAAATCATATTCAAGTCATAGCAACTTCTGAATTTCTGTTTTCTAAGTCTTTTATCATTTTAATTCACCATGAGAAAATAATTCATGTAGTTTTTATTTTATAAAAGGAATCGAAGAGAAAATTGGCTTTTTGATTAAGTACCAGGTGTCTCAGAAGCCAAGCTTGCTGTCTCGGTGTTGATAAGAGGTTAATGGGAAGAGACGCCAAAGGAGATGGCCTGCTTACGCCTCTTACCCTATGTTCTGTAACAGTGACATTGGCGTTGCCCGGCACCATGCAGCACTACATTCTGATGTCCCCTTTTAGTGAATACCAGTGACTAAATGACAAAACTTTTATAGAAAGTGTTTATCGCCTGAAATGCTTCTTTATTAATGTTCTAAGGCACCTGTGAAATATCAAATTTGGTCTGCAAAGTAGTACACAGAATCACTTTCCATGAAAGAAAGGAAAGTTTTTCAGCTAAAAGTTTCCTACAGGACTGTTACTGTCACGAAGCAGATTAACCCACTGCTTGCAATACTGGCATCCCATGTGAGCTCTGGTTCAAGTCCTGGCTGTTGTACTTGCAGTCCGTCTTCATACTAACGCACCAAGGAAAACAGCAGATGGTCCATGTGCTTGGGTACCCACACACATGCTGCAGACCCCAGAGGTTCCTGGCTTCAGGCCGGTGCAGCTTTGGCTGTTGCAGCCGTTTGGGGAGTAGGCCAGCTGATGGAAAGCATGCTTTCATTCTCTGCCTTTGAAATGAAGCCATGAACCTTTTTTATAAAGATTTTATTTTTTGCTTGAAGTGGCATACTAGATTCGCTAAGTGTAAGAAATTTAAAATTTTCATTAATTGAGAAGCAAGGATCAAGGAGATGATGTCTGAGCTGGGCCAGACTGAGGCACAACTCAGTCAGGGTGTCCACATGGGTGCAGGGCCACAGGTACATGAGCCACCACTCTTGCCTCTGGCTGCATAGCCGTGGGAAGCTGAAGTTCCGAGAGGATCTGGGACTCACACCTGCGTCCTCCAGTTTTGACTGTGACTGTTCCAAGTGGGACCTTAACTGCCAGACCAAACAAGCACCACCCCCACAGGTATAATGACTTATTAAGAAAATACTTACGTATTTGCTTATTTGAAAGACAAGGGTACAGAGAAAGGAGGAGAGGGAGAGAGTGCTGGCTCCCATCTCAAACGCTCAGAATGACCATGGTTTGGGCCAGTCCACAGCCCAGAACCAGGAACTCAGTCCAAGTGTCCCAGAGTATTGCAGGACCCAGCTGCTGGGGTCTTCAGCACCGTCTCCCAGAGCTGTGCATTTTAGGAAGTTGGATTTCCAAGCCAGGCTCTCCGGCAATCCGACTCAGGCTTCCCGAGTGCCTTAGCTACTCACCAAACACCCACCGCACCCATCACCACTCGTATGCCATGATTATTCTCTGGCATATCTGTAGCTCTTATTTTTTCTAGATTATCTTTAGGTTACTGCAAAGTAAATGTAGTTATTTAATTAGTATCTCAGTTTGGAAACTTTTAAAACGCCAGGTGTTAGCCTTTGTGCTAGTACTTGAACAGTGGGATTGCTCACCCGTGTTGCAATGTTACACATAAGCAATTGCCTCTCAGTATTTTTGTTTTCAAGATGTTATTACCAGGAAGTGATAGGTGCTGACACACATACAAAAGTTTATCCCTTAGCTGTAGGTTTCATGTATAATACTAATCTATACCTGAAGGCTTTAAGAAAGTACTGTTTAAAAATCAGCCAGGACTTGGGCCCGGCGTGGTGGCACAGTGGTTAAGGTCCTTGCCTTGCACGCCCGGGATCCCATATGGGCGCCGGTTCTAACCCCGGCAGCCCTGCTTCCCTTCCAGCTCCCTGCTTGTGGCCTGGGAAGGCAGCCGAGGATGGCCCAAAGCTTTGGGAACCTGCACCCGCGTGGGAGACCCGGAAGAGGCTCCTGGCTTCGGATCGGCATAGTATCGGCCCGTTGCGCTTACTTGGGGAGTGAATCATCGGACGGAGGATCTTCCTCTCTGTCTCTCCTCTCTGTATATCCGCCTTTCCAATGAAAAAATAATTAAAATAAATCTTTAAAAAAAAAATCAGCCAGGACTTGAGACAGTGACCTCAAACGTTTTCTTAAATGGAAAAATATGTCCTGGATAACCTAGACTAGTACCCGCTTCGGGCTCCACACATCGCTTGATGCCGGAAGTCATAACACAAGGACCACCAGCAGCTAATCTGTGGTTCCTCATCTCAGCCACACTGTCCAGATTTAAAAAGCAAACCTTGTTTGCCTGTCCCCTGAGTTCCCAGGAAGGTCGCTAGCTCATGCCGTTTCAGATCCGAGGGAGAGGTCAGGGGAAGGACCAGCTCACAGAGTCGGCGGGCGTGTGTGGTTCTTGGACCCTCGTTGTTAAGTCTGGCAGGCAATGCTGCTTGACGTGTTTACTCACTGGTTTTGTTGAGAGCCAGCATTATCTTTCGGATAACTTTTAAAACCATTGAAGCTGTTTTGAACTCTGGGCATTCACCTCTGTCTGGTGTTTGTCCAGCAGCCGGTTGTAAAGTGTCCCAGCACACCATAGTGAGTGCTAACTGTGGCCAAGGAGATTGTTACGTTGTTATCACTCTGGTTTTTGTTTTTATTTTTGTTTCAGGAATACCATCCTCTTCAACCTTGTCTCTTTAATGGTAGTGAGCTATTAGGGCAGTAACAAATTTCTTTATTAAAGGAAGTATGCCATGAACCGCTAAGGAGTTCATAATATTGATCCTAAATTATGACACACCTGAAAAGATGTGCAGTATGTATTCTCAAAAGGTAGAAAAATTTGAGTTATAGGTTAGATGTGTATACAGCAATGTTGTTAGTGTTTTGTTACTTAGGTAATCTTATCAACTGTATTGTAATGTAAACCTAGCAACAGTGATATTAGAACAAAGTGTGCGTATCCCCCTGCAATGCTATTTTCATGTCGTGAGCACAGATAGTTTATGAAATTCCCGTTGGAAGAGTAATTCTAAAAATGAAACAACGTGTGATTGTAGGTAGCAGCGATGGTTCTGAACTAAGTGAGGAGACCTCGTGGCCTGCTTTTGAAAGGTAAGAAAAATTGGCCTTTCTAACTGCTCCGAGTTTATTCTGTCTCTCTCAAAGTTTGTGCTAATGGGAATTTTCACAAGTAATACCTAACTGCGTATCTGTAAGGGACTTTTTAAGATTCCTACTGATGAAAGAATCTTATAAATTGACATTTTTACTTTTGGAAATGTAAATGATGAGAATGCTTAACTTACAGCTCATGCAGTGCTTGGTGGCTTGACACGCATATTTCAGTTGTCGTGTACTTGGAGTTGTAACTCAGAAAGCTTAACCGAGGTGGGCACTCAGCCTTGCTGGTAGGGCCCTGGGTCCCGGCTCTGAGTAACCGAGGTGGGCACTCAGCCTTGCCGGTAGGGCCCTGGGTCCCGGCTCTGAGTAACCGAGGTGGGCACTCAGCCTTGCCGGTAGGGCCCTGGGTCCCGGCTCTGAGTAACCGAGGTGGGCACTCAGCCTTGCCGGTAGGGCCCTGGGTCCCGGCTCTGAGTAACCGAGGTGGGCACTCAGCCTTGCCGGTAAGGCCCTGGGTCCCGGCTCTGAGTAACCGAGGTGGGCACTCAGCCTTGCCGGTAAGGCCCTGAGTCCTGGCTCTGAGTAACCGAGGTGGGCACTCAGCCTTGCCGGTAAGGCCCTGGATCCCGGCTCTGAGTAACCGAGGTGGGCACTCAGCCTTGCCGGTAAGGCCCTGGGTCCTGGCTCTGAGTAACCGAGGTGGGCACTCAGCCTTGCCGGTAAGGCCCTGGGTCCTGGCTCTGAGTACGTGAGTTTGGTAGCCAGCTCAGCTCCCACTCCTGATTCCAGCTTCCTGTTAATGCGGACACTGGCAGGCAGCGCTGCTGGGCCAGGTGTTTTAAGCTCTCACCGTGTCTGTGCAGGAGACCTCCAGGGAAGTCCTGGCTCCCCGTGCAGGCGTCTGCAGAGCAAACTGGTGGACAGCAGCTCTGGCTTACCTTTCTCAACCCCTCAAAATGAATCAGTAACCGATTAGAGTCAACTGACACTTTATATGCTCAGAAATAAAATCATTTCCTTAAATTATGGTTCATTTTTAAATAGTTTTAAGACACTGTTTAATTTTAAATAATTAATAATTCCCATCCAGCTCCCTGCCTGTGGCCTGGGAAAGCAGTCGGCCCAATGCTTTGGGATCCTGCACCCACGTGGGAGACCAGGAGAAAGTTCCTGGCTCCTGGCTCCAGCTTGGCCCAGCACCAGCCATTGCGGTCACTTGTGGGGAGTGAATCATTAGATGGAAGATCTTCCTCTCTCTCCTCCTCCTCTCTGTATATCTGACTTTGTAATTAAAAAACAAACAAAGCCATCATGTGCTTGAAGCAAGGGTCATGTTACGCTGATCTTCAAATGGAAGCTCTAAGAATTTAGCCAAACAACACAAATAATTATTACTGCTAGTTTTTATGTGTCCTTTAGGATTCTTCAGTATCTCTAACCATTCTAGTTCTGTTTTAAGCTCCTAATATATTTGACTCTTGACCAAATTTTGGGTACAAAGTAACTTAGAGTAGCAAACGTGTTGTCCAGTGGAGGGGACTAGGTGTTTGACAGGTGGTCAGGATGCCACTGGAGACTCTAGTGTGCTTCTTGCTAATGTACTTCCTGGCAGGTGGTCCCCTCCATCCCTGTGGGAGACCATTGAATTCCAAGCTCCCAGCCCAGCAGCCTCCCCCTCCCCTCACCTTATCTCCTGGGTCTCCGCCCTGCACCACCCCCCCACTACCTTTCAAATAAATCAGTAAATCAAAGACTACAGCTAAAATATCTAGTTAACCCCCTGTAAACCACTTTTTGGTAAAAAACAATTTTGAGTTGTGGTTTTGAATCAATTCATTTTAAGATATCTGATTGGAAGATTAGATCATGTTTCAGAATAAAATTTATGAGAATTTCTCATCATTTTGTGTTTAAAATTTTGCTTATTAGCCTTAAATTTCAAGATACTTTGAGTGTTCCTTTCTACTTCCATTTTCAGTGTTCTCAAGTTTCCTTCTTTTAATTAGGAGGTTCCTTAGCAATTTAATTTTTATATATATATTGTTTCTTTCTAACCCTTAAGTCTCATTTGGGTTTCGGAAAATGAGAAACACATGACAGTTACTTCAGCCTTACTGTCTGATTCTGTACAAATTGTGCTTCCCTCTAGAAAGAGAATGATATCATGTATTGATAAGAAACTATTTAGATGAAAACATTGACTACCAAAATTGCTTCTTAAATGGTTTGAATGATGTGAGTAAGCAGAATTGTATTGTGCTAACTAATCCGCTCTCCTCCCAGCAGGCTGTTTAGGGGAGTTGTGTAATGGTGTCACAGTCAGGGCTCAAAACAGGATTTTTCTTTTATGACAAATGTTTTGCTTTGTAGACGTTTGCAGCTAAAAATTTCACTGTACCTGTGCCAAGTTGAGATCAGTGGCTCTGGGGACATTTTGAGAAACAGTTAAATGAATGCTGCTCTGCATGATTGAGACATGAATGAAAGTGAATAAAGAGCTAGGATTTAAAATACTGTCAGTAGGTAGTGAACTTGAAGGTAGTACTATTAGTTAACACATCATTTTCTACTCTTTTTCTTGGACATCAAATATGTTGTTGCTAAAAGTTACTAAAATAGCACTTTCTATTTAAAATATTTATCAGCAGGGCTGCTTCTGGCCATTTTTCAGGAAAAGGAATATCAGTGTTTTATGTTTTTCTGTTTATTTCCTTTCTTAATAGTATGTGCCATTTTTACATAAATTTCAATTTGTATCATGTTTTTAGTTGTTAATTAGAAGTAAGATAATACCTGTATTTATTACTTCATTCATCTCTTTCATTACTTTGATTAATCAGGTAGGAAAAAAACCAAGAAACTAAGATTTTTCACGTTAGTCCTAAGTTATAAGCCACATTGGTTTTCACTTATCTTCATGGGGACATATAGTCAGAGCATTTATGTAAGTCCAGGCATACTATTTAAACTGAATTCCAAGGGATGGAATAGAAGTAAGAGAATGAGGTATTGTTAGCTGTACAGGTTTGGCTGTAAACAGCCTTTCAGTTTGTTTTAGTAGTTTGTGCAAGTGAACACGTACGTGAGTGTGCGGTGTGCACGCGACACCTTTGAGTACTTCTAGTCTACAGGAGAGAAGAAATTTTTTTGAGATCGATCTTCCTGTATTATAAAAAAAGAAAAGATTGATCACATACTGTTTTTGCCAGATTTCGAAAGCTATGTTCTATAAAGACTCTAGTGTTTTTAAGTATTGATGATTGTATGAATAAAAGTATATGTAATGTATACAATTTATAATGGAATCCAACAGGAACAGATTATACCATTCTCTCGGCCCGGTGACAAGAGTGGCACGAAATGGTTATCGAAGCCACCCGAAGGCCAGCAGGTACACTCCCCCGCACTCGGGGGTCACAGATTCCCTCTGGTGTTGGTGGTCCTCTCACTCGGGTGTGGTCTGACACGATTTCTGTTCTTTCTCAACTAATTCAAAAACTAAATAAATCACCGGGAGAACTTTCTTTCCAAGATTGCACACAGAGATAAATTGAACTTTTCTTTCTTGCACACAACTGATTGTTGAGACTTGAGTCTTGATGTCCCGTTTTTTACAATGCTAATACGTCGATAGCTTGTTACCTGCGCAGGTCTTTGTCACGCAGAGCAGTGTAAGAACCTGCTTGCTGTGCGTGAGCTTCAAAGCAGTTACTTTGCTAGGAAGTCTACATTGGACCTGTCTTTTTTAATAATTTTTTTTTCAGATAAGCCACAGGTCTAGCAAGTCTGATCATTAAATAATATATATCTCAGTTCATTGACCTGTGGAGGCAAGTGAATAAGGATGCGAGATTTAGTGGTAAGGTTAGTCAGCTTTAAACAACAAAAGAACAAATGGGAAAAGCAACTGGTGGTGTTTGCCCCCTGTGTGTGCCTCTGTGTAAGTGCCTAAGATAAAGTTTCTTCTGGTTTTTAGGTCTTTAAGTCACTTTGAAGACACTAACAGTAAACTGGCAAACTGAAGGCTTCCACACTGTTGTAGGAATTCTACAGTTCATATGCAAATTACCTGTTTATCAAACTTACTCATTGGTTCATGCAGAAGTCATTCTGATTTTAGAAACAGGACCTTAAGTCAGTTTGGAAAATATATTAAAATGTTTGGATGTTTTGTGATATTTTTTCCTAACATGTGGCAAGGAAATCTTGAGTTTGGGGGTTATTCCTGTCTCGGAGAACTGTTAGGTAATGAAGTGTTTAAACATTGACAGCATTCAAACACCATTTAAAATTTATCGCAGAAAGTTTTTTTAAAAGTGTTTTTACTTTTATTACTTTAATAATTAACCTATTTTAGAATTAAGTTATGAATTATTCAATTTTTTGAGCCTACGCTACTTTTGCTTTCTTAAGAACCTTTAATATATAGTTTTTTTTAAATCTTTCCTACCAGGACTTAAAGTTTCTAGTGGGGACATAAGACTACAACAGTGGTGCAGAATGACATGTTAAGAAGAAGAAAAAAAAATCTTGAATTTTTAATCTTCTCTAAAGTGAATTATTGAACTCTTTCTGTATTTCACTTGTTCAAATGCTTAATAGTGTCTGTTCAGGATCTGCTGACCTTAATAACTTCTAATTAAATTTATGCCAGCTTATAAATTTCAGCTTAACAGTCAGGTCTTCTCCCCTCTGAGTAAAGCAGCAGGGTTGTCAAGTTAAATACAGCTACATTTTAGATACCTGCCTGAAGATGCCTTACCTGCAAGCTCTGACTGTTGTTTTCCTTGTTTTCATTATTACAGTTCTGCGGAATCAGAGGATTTGGCTGTGCATTTGTATCCAGGAGCAGTTACTATCCAAGGTGTTCTCAGGAGAAAAACTTTGCTAAAAGAAGGCAAAAAACCTACAGTAAGATTTCACCGTATTGTTTTAATAAAAATATGCAGGAATAAGGCCCCAAAAAGAATTAAGACAATTGCCATAAAATCAGATGTATAGTACATTTGCTGCACCATATTTCTGAAAGTATTACAGCCACATAGAGACCTCAGTGAAATCATATGCTAAGGGGCCTAAATAAAGCTACTGCTGTACTTCTCTCCACCCTCTGTGTAGTTTGTGTTTTAAACTGTTTCTTAAAGAAGGCTGAAAGTGTATCACTAAAAATGGAATTCAACTAATACTGCTTCACTGGATTTTAAATATTTGTAATGCAGTTTTGTTTTCTCATGTGAACTGGAACCCAGATATTAAGTGTCCTCCAAAGCAAAACTACTTGAGAAAAAAAAAAAAAAAAGGAAAAAAGTTAGTAAGGCAAAAGTTTCCATATGTGACAGAGAAGTTTGCTTTTCCCCAGCACCAGCATAATAGCTTGACAGCTAAAAGAAAATTGTTTTTGTCCTCAAATATTATTGTAGTTTATCTGATTTGGATGATCAAATCTTTGGCATATATTCACATTTAAAATTTTTGAAGGCATGAGGGATTCTTATAATATAAAGATGTTTTCAACATATGTAATATTATTGCTTACGTTACAGCAAGCCAAAAGCACATGCAGTCAAAAATCCAAATCAGACTAGCTAGCGAACTAATGGCCTGTCAGTGGAACCATTACCAAACTTGGAATGCGTCCAGTGCTAGAAACGGAGTAGGTACCCGGGTGGCACTCAGTGCCTGCCTGTGGGATTCCAACGAGGAAGAGTGAAGATAAGCCATGCCACCCTGGCAAGGTGCTTAACTGAGGTCTGAATAGGAAAGGTTTTCTGGCCTTGCTGGAGCTGTCAGGTTCAGGAAAGCAGAAGGCCTGTGCAGTTCCAGCACTGCACGTGGGAAGGACGTGGAGGAGATGAAGTCAGAGGCCGAGGCCGGAGTGAACATGACGTGTAAAGCAGTGAATTGAGTCCACGTGGCTGTTGGAGAAGGCGGGCGAGTAAGTGGCCCACTTCAGGTCCTTATGCTTATTTGGCTCCTGAAAAAGTCTAGCTCAAAAGTGCTAATGACTTGGGGGTCATTAGCATACGGATCGTATCTGAAGAATAAAACTGTGTGAGGTGATTCATCTGTGATCAAACACTGTGTAACTGGGAGAAAAAAAGCGAGGAGGACATTGAATCCCAGTGCCCTGTTGGTTAAAGGACTTGAAGAAGAAAGAAGCGGTCAGTTATGTCAGACACTAAAGAAGATGCATTGCTAGGACATCAGTCAGTGACCTTGACAGCAGTGAAGCCAGATGAAGTAAGTTGAGAAAATGGGCAGAGTAGAAGCTAGTAGGGGCCAGAATGGAGATAGCTTTGCAAGAACAGATGGAATTGACGCTGGTTTCCTGTAGAAAGTATGCAGTGATGTCATTGAAACTGAAGGTCAGGGTGAGGGGTTGGTAGTTAGAATTTTAAAAAGAAGGTATGAAACAGTTGTCTCCAGAGACAACCAGATTTGGTAAAGCGAAGTGCTGCTGATTTCCATTTGCGATAAATGATCATAATTTATTGTAGTACACTTACATGATTAGAAAGGAATGGATCTAGTGTTGGACCACAAAATACAGGCTAGATGTGAAGACAAGGAAAGGAAGATGGTGCCGGAAGTGACAGTATCCCACTGTCGGACCTTCGGTGACAGAGATGGAGTGTATGGTGGGCACTGCAGATTGAGGGAGCTGAGGAGCCAGGGGGAGTTCATGGTGTTCACGCGTTTGTCCTCCCCAGGTAGCATCTTGGACGAAGTACTGGGCAGCTCTCTGTGGAACACAGCTCTTCTACTATGCCGCCAAGTCCCTGAAGGCTACAGAGAGAAAACACGTGCGTATCCCTCCTCCAGAAAGCTCGCCTCGCTGCATAGTTGGTTCTTTGTGGCCGTAAAGAAAACAGTCCCTATAGGATACCAGGACTTTGGCAGGGTGAAGAGGGTGGTATTTGCTTTTCATTTTCCCCATATTTTATTTTTCATTATCCCATATGTTCTAATCCAGAAATTCTTATGCTTACTCCCTGTAGGAATGCTGTAATGGAAATTTTATTCATGTGGGCCATTCCAAGGAAGGCCTTGGAATAACTTCCATATTTTAAAATCTCTTTTTTGAATAATGTCCTTCCATTGCCAATGGCAAAATTGCACATTACAGATTTCTATCTTGGTAGTAGAGCTTTCCCAGGCCCGAGTCTGTGGTTCAGAACATGTCCGACATGATTGCCTTGGAGTCTCAGCTCCTAAGATACCCAGTGCAGCGGTTTGGAACGGCGCCTGAAGTTGTGTACGTCAGGCCCCAGTGCGGTGACTTAGCACAGTACTTGCTGTGTGCTGTCTTGCATTTCACATTACTTAGGACTCTTGATCTTATTTTCTAGAATTCCTTTGAATTTATTTTGCATGCTATTGTGTCTTTTTTTGTTTGCTTTTTTGTTTTGTTTTGTTTTTTTAATTTTTCTTAAGAAAAAAAAAAAAAAACAGGCGCCAGATGGAGAGCCACGGAGATCTTGCATCTGCTGTTTCACTGCGCAGACGGCTGCAGCGGTCAGAGCAGGCCAGGCCGGAGCCAGGAGCCAGGAGCCAGGAGCCAGGAGCTCCCTCCGGGTTTCCCGAGGGCGGCAGGGGCCCAGGAACCTGGACTTGCCTGCTGTGTTTGACATGGGGTGAAGCAGACTTCAAAAGGAATAATCATTTTATGTATTGCATTAATTAAATCTCTGAGTTGAATTCAGTTCTAATTTATATACTTTTGGGGAAGGGGGAGAATTAAGTGGCTCACCCTGTTGAGGAAAGTTAAGTCATTCAAAAAAAATTTTTTTAAGTTCTTTCTCTGCTTATAATCACGTGACACTTCTTACTTCAGGGAAGTTCTTCATTCTCCCAGTTCTAGCCCTTAGTCAAGCTGAAGGCTTAAAAGAGAGCATTGTTGGTGTGACTCAGCATAGGGGGTCAGGAGGATGACATTGCTTCTTTTCCAGCCATACCCACAGCCTGTCACCGCCTACACTTCACATTGACCATTCCTTCGATTTCCTTTGGTGTTACATATATTCCTAGGTTTGCCTGATTAACTCGTAGTTTCATAATGCCTGAATGGGATGATGTGTTCTTGAACACTAGCCTTTTTGGCTCCTTGTTCTGTTGTAATTATTTAGATAGCTCTTGGTTGAAGTAAGAGACAGAGCTATCAGGACCAGTACGGTGGCACGCCAGGTTAAGCCTCTACCTGCGGGGTCGGTACCCCATACGGCCACCATCTTGTGTCTGCAATACTTGACTTCAGATCCAGCTCCAGAGGCTGGCCCAACTCCCTGAGTTCCTGTGCCCACTTAGGAAACCCAGGAGAAGCTCTTGGCTCTTAGCTCTTCTCTGCAACTATGCCTCTCTAATAAATAGATTTTTGAAAAACTGGATTCCGGAGCAGACGTTTGGCTCCACGGTTAAGACAGCCACAGTCCATATCGCAGTGGCAGGGCTGTTTCCTGCTGATGCAGAGCCCGGCAAGCAGCGGCCAGGGCTCCAGCTCCTGACTTGAAGTGTCGGGAGAGTGAAACAGCAGATGAGAAGAGAGAGAGAGAGAGGAGTGTATGTGTCTTCCCTTCCCCGTCTGCATTGCCAGAATGTATAAGTACATATAGGTAGGTATTCAAAATACTGCTTGCTACTGTTAGCTTCAGTTAGACAACATTCAAGTTGAGAGAGATTATAAAATAACCAGATTTGATATCTAAGGCATATGTTAAGTATTCTGTCTGGCACTACTACTGATGCATACAACATTACTACTGTTGTAGTTCTGATTTTTAATAGTTATTTTAGTTGTGTGAGATTTATGATAAGCAATTTGTACAAAATAATTTAGACATTCTAGCATAATCAGATGTGGGAAAATCAAAATGAGAACCAAGGAAATGGGCTGTGCTCTTCATCTTTCCTAATGAGAACTGTTACGACTAAAGACAGAATTACATACGAAGAATGGAGGGCAGAGGATAGGCCCATGTCCGTATCTAGTATTAATTGCGGAATAGAAAAAATATTGCACAGAACTAAAAGCATTGGTGGGACTAAAATTTACATCATTTTCAAACAAAGTTAAAATATACACAAATTGGAAGAACAGTGGCCCCGTGTGATATCCTGGTGATACCCCACTCGCCTTGTGTGTGCTGGGATCCCCTGTGGGCGCTGGTCATGTCTCAACTGCTCCGCTTCCCACCCAGCTCCCTGCTTGTGGTCTAGGAAGACAGTAGAGGATGGCTGAAGGTCTTGGGATCCGGTGCCCACGTGAGAGACCTGGAAGAAGTTCCTGACTTCAGATTAGCTCCACTCCGCTCCGGCCATTATGGCCACTGGGAAGTGAGCTAGTGTGCCGAGGATCTCTGCCTCTCCTTTTTTCCAATCAAAAAAAATCTATATATTAAAAAAAATAAACATTGTACCATCTATATTGTATACTTGCCAAAACATTTAACCTAGTTCTTCCCATGAGGAAATAATCCAATCCCGATTTGGGGATGTTCTGTGAGTCAGCTGGCTTGGATAGAAAGTGCAGAATTTGTCCAGATAAATTTGTCTTGGATACAAAGTCTAGAATGTGGAGTAGGGATAGGGTCTTGGTTGAATCTGGATTATATTTGTTTAAAAAAAAACTATCAAAACCATTGTTAGCACAATTAAAGAATTTTAATGTTAGTGTCATATGGTTGTATGTATTAAATGTCTTGGGAATCTTGAGAATCTGACTTCTCAGCTTAGATTTGAGTGTTCAAGGTCAAATACAAATGGAAAACTGGAGGAGAAAAACACTAGTGAAAATTCACTTGTTCATTTATACATATAAGTGCAGAAGGGAAATTTGCATCCTTGTATTTTCCCATATTTTCATATTATCCAATGTATATTTTTTTTTTCTGCAGTAAGTTGCTTAGACAGGTAGAATAGCTGGAATGAAAGGAGAAATAAATTTTTTGTTTCTGTTTTTGAATGACTAAAAAGGAACATATTCAAAGTAAAAAGTGTTTCAAGGAAGTATATTCATTGTAAAAAAAAAATTTTCAGACATTTGAACCTACCTCTGAGTAAATATTATTTGAGCAGTTAAATTTAAAAATCAAGTTTAAAAAAAAAATCCATAATGTGAAAAAAAAGTCCATAATGTGTCAGGACCTCCCATGAGCAAATAAGAATAAAACAGAAGATTGGAAAAGGAAAGTAAGTCAAGCTAACACAGATGTCTTACCAGCGTGAAAACATGGTCAACCTCATTAGTCATCCAGAAGCACAGGTTAAAGATGTCTGATGTTAGGTAAAAACTTTACAGGTTGGCGGTGTTGCACTGGCCATGAGCTGGGGGAACAGAGACTTGGTGTCCAGCATGGGCAGGAGTTTCAGTGCTGGCGTTTTTGTGGTGACTTAAGAGAAGCAGCCATTCCTCACGTGAGAACGTCTGCTGCACAGGTTCTTGAAGAAGTGCCCCAACGTGCATGCAGTCGTATTTATAATAGCAGAGATACGCGAGCGTCCACACCAGCATGCAGAAGTCCACGCAGCAGGCACCCACGTGGTGTCTTGTGTAGCTGTGCAGAGAGGACTCGGCCCAGAGGGATCCAGCTGACGGCCAGCGGACGCTGCATATCTCACTGGCATCTGAGGACCTTCTGTTGCTGGAATTACTTTTTCCTGTAGACCTGTTTCTTGACATAATACTAAATTCATTTTGCCAGTACATCACTTGGTGTGCTTTTCACTTCTATGCGTGAATGAAATGAATGTGTTTATAATAGCCGGTTCTTACGATTAGAAGGAGAACTGTTAACTAAAGTAATAATAAAAGAAAAATTAACTATAGCCGTAAAAAAATGAAAGTTAAGAGTACCTTTTTTATGAGACATGTGGTAAAAATGCTGCTGTTAAAAATTATCTGAAAGCACTGCTTGGCTAGTTCATTCAGTCTCAAAGTTTAGACATTTTGTAGCTGTTAAAATACAAACGGATCTGCTCCAAGCAGCTGAGCAGCAACTTAGAAGAAACAGCAAAGATGAGTGTATCAGGTTCACCAACAGCTCCTGTCCTCGGGAGAGGAGACAGAAGAGTTTGGTCCTGATGCACAGCTGCAGCTGGGAAAGTTCTGGAAAGAAGGAAGCCAAGTAAAGAGGGCACATCTGGGTGGAACTCAAGGACCTAGGTTGTCCCCCCCAAATGACCTGGACCAGCAGGTCACAAATCTCTTGTCTCAAGGGGAACTCAAAGTACACTCTGTAACATTTAGTTTTTGTTTAGAATAGCCATAACTTTGTTTTCACTCCTCATCTTTTTATCTTTCAGTTCAAGTCAACGTCCAATAAGAACGTTTCCGTGGTGGGCTGGATGGTGATGATGGCTGACGACCCAGAGCACCCGGACCTCTTCCTGCTCACAGACTCCGAGAGAGGCGAGTGGTCGGGCTCGGTAGAGCTTTGAAGGAACCACATGGGCTTCACCTAGTGAAATGTTTGGGTCTCAGAATGTGTTTCAGTAGAGCAGTCAGTGTCTTTAGGACTGCTTGTTATTTGCTTCATGGGTGTTAAGCTTAAAAATTAAAAGTCCAAGTAATCGTTCAAAAGGTTAACCAAAAAGAGAGGTAGAGGAGAAGGGAATTTGAGAATATAGCCGATTGTCATTCCAAGATCTCAGAGATTTGCCATGTAGGCAGTACCTTTTCATCTATATCCTAAAATAGATTTGTTTTAGAAGATTGATTAGTTTGAAAAGCAGAGTCGCCAAGAAAGAGGGAGAGACATAGAGAGACAGAAATCTTCCAACCGCTGGTTTCTTCCCCAAATGACTGCAGCATCTGGGTCTACGTTGGCCCAAAGCCCGCTGCCCAGAACTCTGTTGAAGTCTCCATGGGGGTGTCAAGGCCCTAAGGTTGGGTCATCTGCTGCTGCTTTCTGAGGCAGATGAGCAGCAGCAGGGTCTCAAGCTGACGCATGTGGGGATCTGGCATCCCTACCTGTTACCATGGAAAATATTTGATTGATTTTTATTTATTTGAAAGAGAAATTTCCTGTGTGCTGGTTAACTCCCCAGGTGGCAGCACAACTAGAGCTGGGCCAGGCCAAAGCCAGGACCCAGGAACTCCACCCGGCTCTCCCATAAGAACAGCCGAGGCCCTGGTGGTTGAGCCGTGTTCTCCGGTCTTCTCAGTCACCTTAGCGGAGAGCTGGATTTGAGAAGAGCATCTGGGGCTTGCCCTGACACTTGCGTGGGATGCTGATCTCAGGCAGCGGTTTAATGTGCTGCATCACGGAGCCTGCCCCCGACTGGAATTCCTAAATTCTATAAGTGTCCAAATATTCCTTTAAGTGGTTGTGTTACTTTCAATTAGTTATTGACTTAAATCACTTTCCAAATGAATTAAAATACCATACATGTAATATGAGGAGACATGAAAAATAAAATACAATTGACTTTTGACCATTGGAATTTATAAAAGAAATGACAAAAATTATAAGATGGGCTATGTTGAATCATATGCAGCTGTAGTTATTTTATTTAGTTGTGCTTTATTTTACATTTAAGCAGATAAAATTATTTTGTGACTCCACAAACAAAACAGTGACTTGATGAACATATGATAGGGTAGGAATGTTTACATAGAGAGCTCCTGTTTTTATTTGTGTTGGAAATCATCTGCGAAAAGAGCAGAATGTGCAACTGACAACTCTGGCCGTACTGAGCACGTCTTAGCCACCCTGCAGGACCACTGTATGTCATGGTCCTCATGTTTTTATCCTGCCCTTATTTTGGTCATTTCAGGAAATTCATACAAGTTTCAAGCTGGGAGCAGGATGAACGCAATGCTATGGTTTAAGCATTTGAGTGCAGCCTGCCAAAGTAACAAACAACAGGTGAGCATCTCTGTTGTTGACAATAGCCCTAAGGGATGAAGTCCACACCGTGTCCCCCAACATTTCAACTAGTAACAACTACATGTAGAAACAATAGAATGATAGGATACAGGGTGTAGGAGAAGAGACAGCTTTAGAGAAGCCCAGGTGAGCAGTAGAGTCTTACGGAGTACAAGTGCTGACTTGAATTCCAGGAGGCGTAGGCCTGGTGTAGAATGGACTGTTGAGAGAGGGTAGAGCAGACGCAAGGACCCTGAGGCAGAGCGAGCTTCCAGTGTTAGAGAAGGGAACCAACGGCAGGTCAGGGAGTGTGTGGAGTGGTAGAAAGGGTAAAATTGCACAATACTTGAAATAGGTGCAAGTCACTCTGTGATTCTTAATTTGATCAGCTGACAGCTTGATGTAGGCTCCCATGATTTCAGTAAAGCCAGAGACCATTGGCTGTGACTGTGTTCATTGCACTGAAAGGTTTTCAGCTGTGGATAAGCCTGTTGTGTTGTTCTCCTCAAACCGGGTTGCAGAGTTAGTTGAACCACCAATTGGTACAACTGCAGTTACAAAAATTTCTCTAGACTTTTTTCCAGAACTAGGTTCTAAATGTATTTCATCATCATTGACACACAGGGTATTGGTAATACTGAAGTATATGGCAAGTGTTGTCAGTAGCTGATTTTAATGTAATGAGGTATGTAGTGCACAAAGTTAACTAGTTAAAAGTAGAAATTCAGACCAAATGTACTTACAAAGTTAAAAAAGAAGAAAGGTTGACCCTAGTGCCACCTGTGCGTAAGTCCCGTCAGTCCACACTCTCACACTGTGAATCCGCAGCACAGGGCCTGGTTCCGCTTCGGGCTCTCTCTGCAGGAACATGAAGGACCTTGGCAGGAAACTGCTTCCTGTCCCTGTGAGGTTAGAGCAGGATGGAAGGGACAGACTCTCCTTTGCCCAAGTCTGACTTTTTCTCAATTTGCTTACTATACTTTTTTTTCTTTTTAATGTTTTTCATTAGGTTTATTTATTTTTTTTAAAGATTTATTTTTATTTTTATTGGAAAGGCGGATATACAGAGAGGAGAGACAGAGAGGAAGATCCTCCATCTGATGATTCACTCCCCAAGAGGCCACAACGGCTGGAGCTGAGCCAATCCGAAGCCAGGAGCCTCTTCTGGGCCTCCCACGTGGGTGCAGGGTCCCAAAGCTTTGGGCCGTCCTCGGCTGCTTCCCTGGGCCACAAGCAGGGAGCTGGAAGGGAAGTGGGGCTGCCGGGATTAGAACCGGCGCCCATATGGGATCCCGGGCGTGCAAGGCGAGGACCTTAACCACTACACCATCGCGCCGGGCCCATGCTTACTATACTTTCTTAAAAATAGAACTTATGGTATTAAGTTTTAGTTAAGAAAGAAAAGCTCAGTTGTCAGCACTATGGCATAGCCTACAGCTCCAGCATCACGTGTGGGCACCAGGTTGAGGGCCAGATGGCCCGCTGCTGATGGGCCTGGGCAAACAGCAGAGCATGGCACAGGTGCCTGAGCACTGCACCCTTGTGGGAGACGCGGAGGAAGCTCCTGGCTTCAGACTGACTCTCGCTGCTTCTCTCCCTTGTCTGCCCACACCTTCCTCCCTCTGGGACTCCGCCTTGCCAGTAAGTAGATAAATGCTTAAAGAGAGAGAGAAGAAGAGAGAAGCCATCTGCAGGTTCCCAGATTGCTCTAGAGAGTGTGTGTAATCAACAGAATTTTCACGGAACCTTCCTGCAGTACCAGTTTAGCCACGTGTTTTTTCTGTTTTTTCTTTTCTATAAGTGAAATAATCAGAGCTGTGACAAGCTTCAGGTGAAACCTGTGCAGTTTTGTATTGAAAACTAACATGATGCCAACTAGCTTGAGTCTCATTGAGACGACTTAAATGTTTACTGTGCTTAAATACGGGTTTTTATACTTAAGGCACATGAGAATTTGTCCTGAATTTGATTTATATTTCATTTAGGATTGTATTGTCCAGTAGAGGTTTTCCACTCAGAAATTAATAGGTGTCAGATAGTCATGTTATTTTAGTGCAGAATTAGAAGGAAACAAATGTGACCCAACCTGTACGTTGTGTCAACTAATGAATTACATAACTTATTAACTCTTCAGAGGCATGGCATCCAAACATAATTTATCTGATAATGAGTTGTGTTCTTTTCTGTACTTATGGTGACATCACAAAGCAATCATTGGCAACACATAAAATTATTGAGCAACTTTGTAATTGATGAGAAAATAAATAGCAGATTTATTTGACTGGATTGCTCCCTAGGGCGGCCCTGTATATTCTTTAATTTATAGAGTGCACATATGCTGAGCCCTCTCTGTGGGCCAGCAGGGACCTAGGGTGGCCCCTGCCTTTGTCCCAGCCCTATGATTTTCTGAGCATGCCTAGGGTGGTATTTTCATTATTCATCAATGTCTGAAAGATTCGGGTTTATCCTGACAAGAAAAAATAAACCCTGTGAAAACGAACTTTTAAACAGTTTAATATAATGCTTCTAATTTTTAGGTTCCAACAAACTTGATGACTTTTGAGTAAATGCCTGAGACAGCAGAGTGGCACCCTGCCCCTCCGGAGCACTGGGACCCGCGAGCGAGCGCCAGCTGTATACCATCCTGTGCCGGGGAGAGCCCAGGGCTTGGCTCAGCCTTCCGGAGTTCTGAACCGAAAAAGCACTAATTTCAGGGAATGAAGTGTGATATTCCCAGAGAACCGATTGGAATTAGAAAACAAACTGCCATGAACCATGCTTCTTATCTCTGAACTGACCTGTGGAAACCACTGCCTTAAAAGAATGAAAGGAAAACCAACACGACACCAAATAGTGTGTGTGAATCTTCTGGCGCTGTGCTTGGAGTAGATCGTAGCAAAATTGCATTTCTTTTAACTTTGTACTAATTTTGGAGGGGGGAATCACCTTTTTTTAGATACACGTAAAAAGGAAACCTATTTCTTAGGGATCAGGGCAGGAGCTGATCTTAAGTTGTGGGGAAAGGTAGTTGAGTAGGCGTCCCACCAGCAGCCCACCTGCGCCGTCGGTGGGGCCTCTGGCCCTCTGTAGCCTAGCTTGTTTTCTCACCAGGAGAACGTAGGAGTTAGAAGTGTCAATAACGTGAGTTAGTGTTTGTCTGGGATGGCGGGTGCTGTTTATTTTGTTTCGGATGAGAGGCGTTTAAACACTAAACGGGGGATTTGGGACTGTGTGGAGGACGTTGTTTCTTGCAGGCAGTCCAAAAACGGACTGTTGGTTTGCCGGATGGTTTTGTAAAGTAAGCTTCAGAAAACATGGCTGGTTCTAACGGGCTAAAGACCTGCGTATGAAGAACTGTAACCCCAGTCTCAGATTCTTTTCTGTCAAGTTGATTAGACTAGCCCTTCTCCTTCCTGACTTTGAACCTCTACATTGATGGACATTTTGCCAGGGTATTTTCTTTTACAGTGTTTTATGTGCGTAATGCCAGAGTTATTTTTTTATTATTCATTTTTGTTTGGGTTCAGTGTGAGATTCAGGATCTATTTGTTCAAAAAGACTCTACATACGTACATAATGTCTGTAACTTATCAAAAGACATATAGAATAACCTGAAGAGTGATACAGGTGAAAGTGTGAGGTCCTGGGAATTTTAAGCAACAAAGTTCTCTCTCTACAGCTTGCCACAGACACAGCAGCATATTCCCCGGAGGCCCCCAGAGCTCCCTGCTCATGTTTTGTCACTATTGGCCTAGGTGTTTTGTGAGAACTCCTCTATGCAGTCACACGTTTTTAAGATAAATGTTGGTTACTGAAACAAAATTTGAAAGTGAGAAACCATAGAATTTCAGGGGGAAAAATGTCTTAAAGCAAGACTACGTGTTGAAATTATAAATTCCCGGGACATTGTAATACATTTCAGCTGTGATCAGAGTGAGAAACACTTCTTGACTGTTAACTGCTAAGATTTCTGGTACTTTAGACCTCACATAAAATTTCTCACATTTGTATTCTTAAGATAATTTCAGACTTTTTTTGATATGAAAAGTATTTAGCCCTTGAGTCCCTGAAACAAAAATAGAAAATATTTAGCTTAAAGGAAAAAAAGGACAAAAACCAAAAGAGCTTTTACTTTGTGCTAAGTATTAAAATTTAGTTTTCTACTTGAAAAAGAGTTGAAACATGTTTCTCGTGCAGCAGTTAGAAAATACCATGATTTCCGGGTGTTGAACATAGGCTGGAAAAGGCAAGGTGCTCCCTGCACAGCATGAGTCTGGGGTTGATGTTCTGAGCTTCCCCATGTTTGGGTCCTAGCCAGCAGTATTACTCTGTAGTCTTGCACATATTACTTTTTTTTTTTTTTTGCATTTAAAAAATTGTCTTGATTTGTTAATTTCTTTTTGGAAATAGCATTTTAATAGTGTATGTACCTTTTTTTTTTAAGATGTTGTGAGAACCCTGTGGATTTTTTTATTGCTTTGTTTGTCATAAATAAGCTAAACTAGGTGTCTGTGGAAGTCCAGGCCTGACATCACACAGTTTTGCCAAAGAGTGAAAGCCGAGCGGGAAGATGTGTGACGCTTTCAGCCCTGAGCTGTTCATTTATGTTTGCGTAGCAGAAGAATAGTGTTACATTTTGTTAAAGAGCTGTGTCCAGTAATTGGCTGAAATTGAAAAGATTTGTCAGTATTTTTAAGGTTATTTTAGCATTTAAGGCAGACCGAAACCACTAGGAGAAATGAACTAAACTAAGATAGTATGAGCGAGTTTTTGATCTGCAGCTCAATAAATCATATCTGATAATAACTCAAGGAAAAAACATTTTATTCATCAGAAGATGAATCTTATTAAATCTACCCTCAACTGCAAATTCATGACTTGGCGCTCAAAATTGCTGCCATCGTTACACTCATGGGTTTCCTCCCAAGCCAAGACAGAACTCATTATCAATTTAATTTGTAATTTAAACACAAGCTGATTTGTGTTAAGCATACAATTGGCACAATATATGGCCTGTGTAAATATAAAAGATGAATCAAGTACAGTTGGAGACATGTCTCAGCTTACAACTTATTTGAGCATGGAGGCTTGGTTTTCCTAATCCAGCCATGAGAACACTTGCGAAGTGCCCTTACAGGCTGCTGTGTCTGGGTTCATGTCCGCTCTGGATTTGGGCACTGCCCATCTCTCCAAGAGTTATTTTCAGCATTCCTTCTGAACTGTAAGAACCTAGGAGCTGACCAGGCACACCTTCCTTTTACATTGTCTTCACCATGTAGGTATTACTGTTTAAACACACAAAAAGGGATCCAAAAACTTTGAGTCCTGAATGGTTTCTCCCTTCATACGCATGTGCCCAAAAAACACTATTGTGAGAAAAGGAAGACATGTTGACGCTGTCAGCGAGCCTCTGCCGGCTGGTCGACCCGGGGGCCCCGACGGAGCCGCCCATTGACCTCAGGACTGATGTCTTAGAATTTCACTGGTCAAAGGACTTGGGCATAAGTCTTGTCTTTTTTAAGGTTAAATATGTAAACTAGATTCATGCACTACTTAAAAAAAAAAAAAACAAAAAACCCTGCAGGGAATGCTGCTCGTGGGAAGCAGAAGTGTGAGCAGACTTCATCCATCGTCCACTGCTGCTCCGTGTTCCTTTATGCCCAGTTTTTAAATTGTCTCTGCAAACGAGATCACGGTGTTGCTTCATAACATTTCACGAAATCCTCAGCTTCAAAGTCTACCGAAAACATCGGGTCCTTTTCTGAAAGAGAAGGTGTCGCAGTGGAGCAGGGCAGCCCCTCTAGGTGGAGGTGATGTCCTAAAGCAAGCGAGGAGGCCTGGCTTCGCTAGCGGCCGTTGAAGCTGGCTTTCATTTTCTCTCTTTTTGTGCACTTTCTTTCCAGTGTAGCAAGTTTATGATTTTACATCTAGAGTGGTATCCTTTGCTGTTTAAGCTTTAAGATACAAAAGGAAGAAGAACAAGAATGCCGGTTGATCACATTGATGATTAATTGCTTTCCACATGAACTTTTTCCGAACAAATATCTTTTGGTTTTGCCCCCTTAATGATGGCGGGTGTCTAAAGTGATTTTTTTCTTTCCTATTTGGAGACTTACAGTGATTGAGAGAGCTGTGTATACAAACTTAAGAAGCTTATTTGAGAGCAGTTTCTTTATGCTGATATCTCAAGTTGTCAAGTGGGGAAGGTTTGGTCAGTGCCTTACCAGTTTGAAGATCAAGTTTAGAGCATGACGATCCCAAGAATCATTGGCCCTCTTACTCCTCCGCTTCAGGAATGTGTGCTAATCCTCTGTCCGAGCTTAGTGCTTCTCATGGCGTGTGCAGGAACGGCTGTACAGGTGCTCCAGGGAACTGGGGCAGCCCGTCTTAACTTGTCTCTTAAAAGAAGCCCTGCCCTGTCTTCTTTCGAGGTAGGGTTTCCAGTTTAAACCCACTCCAGTGGACCCTGAGACAGATCTCCCTGCTTTGATGGGGCACTCGTGCAGCTGAGGCCATTTGTACTTTGTTTCTGTTGTCGTTGTGAGCAGAGATTTAATAAGACCTTTTGGAAAAGTCCCTAAGAGACTAAGATGTTCATATAGTCGGCAAGACTTGTTAGGTTTGTTGAAGCTCCCAAAATCTTGTAATGAGAACCCCTGTGACCAGAGGAGAGGATGCCTTCGGTTCATTCCTCCATCCAGATAAGACTGAGTGGTCAAGCACTCGTTCAACCTGCCAGTTGTTTTTTTTTTTTTTGAAAATATGCTGAAAAGTGAAGGCAACACTTGGGAAGTATTTTTGCTTCTCTGAGATTGTTGGAATACCTGAAGTTCCTGGTGTTTATTTTAAACAGTCAGCTGGTTCTTGGGAGCTATTAGCAAAATTTAAATTTTGGTTCTAGCCGTTTGGACTATTATGTGATGTCAAGATTAAAACAATGCATAATTACAGGTATCTGGGATTGAAAAGCTTTTTTTCTTAATAGAAAAAAAGAACCATAAAATACTGGCTGTGCTTTAAATAACTGGTAACAATACATTTCCCAAGAATGTCACCTCCGATAATGACTGGCTTCGTAGGTGTGCTAAGTGGGACAGTTAAGTGTCCCACCCGTGAAGTGTTTCAATACCTTGGTAATTGACAAACTCTTTGTCTTATGGCCTACTGAGATGTATTTGTGTGGGAAGAGCGTTGGGAAGTGGTTCACATCATAATCTGAAGGAATTCTAACGTCTGGGGATAAGTACACCAGAAAACAGGAGCCATTTTAATCTGTGTCCCAATGAACTTGAGGTGCTCTGCGATGCAGCACTTGATTGCACTATGACCTCCTGGAGTGATGTGCAGCTTGGTTCCTCCCCCACTTTTTGTTTCTTTTTTAATATGCAAATGTGAGTGTGTGATCTTCAGTGTGTTTGCATAAGCTAACTTAACATGAACTTAAGTACAGTTTTCTGAAATATTTCTATTGAAATAAATTACTTAAACTGATATAGATTGTGTAAGGATGTTTTGTTACCATATTTGCATGTTTATAATTCATTTCTTAAAAGAGTGTTTTTATTTGATAAGCAGATTTTTATGGAGAGAGAAGAGACAGAGAAAGAAGTGTTCTGTTGGCTGGCTCATTCCTTAAGTGGCTGAGCTGATCGGAAGCCAAGAGTTTCTTCCACGTCTGCCACGTGGGCACAGGGGCCCAGCAGCCCATTCTTGACTGGGCTTTTCCAAGGCATAAGCAGAGCTGGATCAGAAGAGGAGCAGCCAGTACACGAACCAGAGCCAATACAAGATGCTGGCACATGCACATGATTGGCATGGTGTGCCACTGCACCGACCCCTATCAGTAACTTTTTTTCATTAACTGTTGAAGTGCCAGTAAATTTCTTTTTTCCCTTTCCGAAGTAGTCACCCAGAATTGCCAGCACAGGGAATGGTGTGAGTAAACTGCAGTCGCTGCTGTATCGCTCAGGATGGTGACTATCCTGCAGGACGGGACACGGGCTGTGGCATTTGCAACTGTGATGTGAAGTAAGCTGCTCCCGCCTCCCCCTCCCCCAGGCCCTCCTTGCTAAAACCCTGCTGCCTTCAGCCCCAGGGCAGGACATGTCTTCATTTGAGCAAGTCTAAAAGCAGGATCCATCCATCCCCATCCAGCCTGTGGAGCTTAACTAGAACAAGTTCCGGCTTATCTGCACTGAAACTTGCCCAGAAGTCATTAGCTGAGGTGTTGGTGTTACCGCATCTAAGAATCCCACTGAACCTAGCCTCTAGAGTGATGTGAGGCTCCTAAGAATGGAATGCCAGTGGCACCAAAGTTAGTTTTCAGCAGTATTTTCATCTCTCCGGTGGCCTTGAAAATGCCCACCATCCCTTCACAGAGATTTTTTAAAATGCCATTTCTTCGGTGGGGTCAGCCTGTCTTTACCTAACATGGTGCCTCTTTATTCAGATGGCAGTTTTCCATATCTGCAGGCCAAGTTTTTTGGGTCCCTCTTGCTGTTTGATGAGTTTGTTGTCCCCGCGCCAACACCATGTTGTCTTCATTACTCTGTAATTCTGTAAGCATCTGGTGAGGTCATTGTATGTTCTTCATTTTCCCTGAGAGTCTAAGGGCAGCTGGTCGTGCTCCATGAGAACACTGGTATTGGGGTTTTTATTGAAGTTGCTTCAGATTCCGACATGAAGATACAACAGTTTTTGAAATGTCGATCTGTGACTTGGAAATGTGCATTTGTGTACTGCCCGATCGCTGTGTCCTTCAGGAGCATTTTACAGTGTCCCGCCTGTGATCTCACACATCTTCACTAGTTTAGATGTAGGAAAGTTTTCTGTTGCGCTGTGAGTGTGGCCCCTTGTATTGCTTTTCTCATTGATCGTTACTTGTACACAGGCATGTTGTTGCCTCTTGTGCTGACATTCACTAACCTTATTGAACTTCCTTACAGCTTTGCTGGATCATTCCTAAAGTCTCCTGGAATTAGGCTCGCTGTCTCTTCATTTCCAACTTTTACCCCTTACATTTTTCTTCTCTCAACTGCAAGTGTCCAGCTATCCAACACAACATCGGGCTGGAAGCAGTGACGGCATGCCCAAGATCAGAACACCTCAGTACGTAGTGCAGCTCCACCATGAACCCCAAGCCTGTTCTAACAGTGCAGTACAAGTATTTTTTTTTTCTTTTTAGGCAAACTAATCTTCAGTTTAAAATTCTTAAACTTTGGCTTTACTCCTAGTGCACATGCTTTCTCAGGCAGGAGATTAGGGGCATTTACTCTGAGCCACCGCTGGTTGACTCGCCAGTGTCAACACTCCGTGAAATACTGATTCAGAGGGAAATGGCAAAACCCTGGTTAGCAATGTGATTAAATTCCTGTATGTCATTCATCCTCAGCTGGAGGCGTTATTGTCCCGAGGGAGATACTGGAGAGGTTTTTGATTGTCACAGCTGGGAGAAGGTTCTGAAGCAGCTAGACACATGAGAGTGTGGGGCACTGTGGGAGATCCTGGTGCACAGGGCAGCCGCCGTGACAGCTGAGTGCTCCGAATGCCAGCTCTGCCAAGGCCTGGTGCCCACGGGTGAGTTGCTGGTCCTGCTCCCGGGGAAGAGCTCAGCTTCCGTTAGACAGGGTGTTAAACTCTTCTGCACACATTAACCTCGCTCAGCAGAAGTGTAGCATGCCGGATCTAGAAGGAGCTAACCTGAACGGATTGCGTGAGAATCTGTTCATGACCTGGGATATAATCTGTTGCTCACAAAGTGTTGAGTGTTTCAGCCTAAAGCAGGTCTATAGGAGCATGCGAAAGGAGCACAAAGCTGCAGAGATGTGTGTCTCCTTCTGTACGCTGCACTCAGGTTTGAAAGGATTGTCTGCTAGCAATAGAACAAGAGGGACTGCTAAAATGTCCGGTTGGATTGTACAATCTGAGCTTTATTAAACAGGAGCCATTTGCTGTTTTTTTATTGTAAAAATTGTGCCTCCCGTTGTACAAAGTTGAAGCAACACAAAAGTTATACGTCCCACCTGCCAAATTCCCCACTTCGTATCTAAGCGCTTGTCCTTGACTTCATTCCTATAATCCTAGCGGGATGAGTTTCTTTCTGACTGGCTGAGGAGAGTTGATTTTTCACTTCTCTCAAACTCCTGCCCCACTTAGGCCTTCATGAAGCACTCTGGTACCGTCCCAGTGAACACGAAACACAAGCGTCCTGGGAATAGACTCACAGTACCTGGAGTGCATTTCTGACTTGATGAAATCAGATGTAACATGAGACATCTGCGTCTTGGAAAGACACGTGTGCATACAAGCAAAGACTCCACGGAGCACCTCTGGATGCTGAATAAATTAACTGGCATTTCCTGCTTCTCTGTAACAGACAAGTAGCAGCAGATGTCCGAGTCTTTCGGCCAAGCCATTAGTGAAGCCATATGAAATAGTATTTAACATTTTATGTGTTGTGACACATAAAATGGCTGCTCCATCCCGGTAGTTTTCCTTAAAAAGTAAGCCACACATCATTTGTAATTTATTTCAAGTGTTAAAAACTCAATTACTAGGAAAGTTCAATTAACAATAAATGCGAGACATCCAAATTTGAGAAGGGAAAACATTCTTTCCTGATAGGGGGAGAAGTTTCCTTTCTAATTGGGTTTATTACTGGGAATTTGAGGCATCTCCATTTTAGTACTGTTGTTTTCTTTTTTAGAAGACTAGAGTTTCCCTGCTTTTTATCATTTTCCTCCATTGCGTCTATCCCATTGACTTTAAATAGATCCTAGTTGGCAGATATTCTGGGAGAGTTCCTGAGTTTAAAAGCATAGCATCAAAATTAAAACAACCATGGAAGAGGATCCTGGGGAGATGTCAGAGCAAAAAGCACCAACCTACTTAAGCATTGCATGTGTAGAAGAGCTTAAAAAGCTTATTTATTTGAAAGTCAAAGTGACAGAGAGATTTTCCATGCATTGTTTGACTCCCCAAATGCCCAAAATAGCCAAGGCTGGGCCAGGCCAAATCCAGGAATTCCATCCAGCGTTCCCAGATGAGTGGCGGGGGCTCGAGTACTCAGCCATCACTCTGCCTTCAGGCATGTACGTGGCAGGACGCTGGATCCAAGCCTTGATCCCGGGTCCAGCTGCCACCCTCAGAAGCTTTCGTATATAGTAACACCCTCTTATCTACAGTTGCATTTTCATTTGCTTACAGTCCATTGCAGCATGAAAATATTAGAATGGAAAACTCCAGCAGTATTGTCAGTTTTCAGTCACCCACACTCTAGGGTGTGATGTAGTCTTGTACCATCCTGCTCTGTGTTGCCCCAGCCATGATTGTCCCCTTTTCCAGCATCCCCTGCTCTAGGCGCTGCCCACCTGTTAGTCTCTTGGCAGCCATGTTTGTTATCAGATCCATTGTCATGGCATCATCATACTTGTGTTCAAGTAACCATTATTTTACTTAGCAATGGCCAGCTCCAAAGCACAAAAATGACTGGCAACTTATATTTGCCAAAGAGAAGCCATACAAGGCTTCCTGAAAGTGAAAGTTGTCAACTAAACAAATGGATTGCTGAGGGTGTGGAAGTAGTATGTGTTGTCCCAGCTCAAGCTGCAGAAGTTGTGATCAAGCTGGAAAAGACAATTAAGCTCGGGCATATATGTGTGTGTAGGACTTCAGTACCCTCTGAGACCTCACATCTCCTGGGGCTTGGAAGTGCCTGCTGTGTTGGAGAGACTCCTATTGCAAGTTTTGCAACTGATCACAGAGCCAGCGATTTCCAGGGCATGACTTGGACAGCAGCATGCAGGTGATGGTGGCTTCCAGCTCCACAGAAGTCCTCAGAGTGGCTTGGTACAGTCGCCAGGAGCTGGAATGAGCAAAATGGTCCCCATCCTGCAAATATCAGAGATATCAGAGATCTCCCGGTGATGGAAATGGCCACTTCTGATCCTGGAAGTGCAAACAGGCAGGCGGCCATCATTCCACCGCCCATGACTGCGGTAAGCCTCCCCAACTGGGTGGAGCAACTTGCAGAGTGGGTGTCCTTCATCCGCCCTTTGTTTTTTCTTTCACTTTTGGAGCCAGCCAGCCAGCCAGCCAGCCAGCCAGCCATTGAATACCCTCAGAAGAATCCACAGGGGAAATTAAGAAAGCAACTTGCAGGTACCCAGGGGAAGTTTAGGTAAATGTTCAGGAAGACTGCAGATGGCCAATGTGCTCCTCAAGCAAACAGCAGCCACCAGTTAACAAAAACAGGTCATCCTCTCCTGGGGAGGGGAAAAATCTGATTCCCAGAGTTAGAGGTTATGCAAAGGAACAGAAAAATGTATATTTAAAAATGAAACAACTGGGCCCGGCACGATAGCATAGTGGTTAAGGTCCTCGCCTTGCACGCCCAGGATCCCATATCGGTGCCTGTTCTAATCCCGGCGGGCCCTGCTTCCCATCCAGCTCCTTGCTGATGTGTCTGGGAAGACAGTCAAGGATGGCCCAAA